ATAAACAATTCCTAAGTTTTGAATTGTATGGCATTCTGAGTACCTTCCTTCATCTCATCATCACAAGAAGGGTGAGTAGAGCACAGTTAAGATATTTTGAGAGAAAGACTATATTCACATAACTTTTATTACAGTATCTATATATATAAAAGCCAAGCGACCAGAACGACCAGTCGCTGTGACTCGCACTGTGGCTGGCCAATCGGCCCGATTGGGGACAGGGCCAGCCAGCCAACCTCCCGTGGCCCCTCCTCCCGCTGGCTGGCCCAGCCCCAATCGGCCCCCATCAGCCCCAATTGGGGTGGGCTGGCCGGACCCCACCCGTGCACAAATTCATGCACCCAGCCTCTAGTGTTACTAAAACTGTTCTATTTTATTATTAGTTATTGTTAACCTCTTCTGTGCCTAAATGAGGAATTAAACTTTATCATAAGTATGTATAGGAAAAAACAGTATATATACAATAGGGTTCGGTACTATCTGTGGTTTTAGGCATCCACTGGGGGTCTTGGAATGTATCCTCCATAGATTAGGCAATTACTGTATTTCTGTTGGACAGTACTGGTCTAGCAGTAGTGATTCTCAATCTCAGTTTTTCATCATAATTATCAAAACTTTTCCAAAAAGTGGTACCCCTGGACTCTGTTTCAAAATGAATCAGAATTGTGGGAGTCAGGACCCCAATATATATTTATAACACTTCCTAGATAATTCTGAGAATCTTTAACTTAGAGGTTAGTGGACATAGTTGTGTCCTTGAGCCTTATAGGACTGAAGTGGAATGGACACTGGTAAATAGTCTCCAGTAACTTATTTCTGTAGAATAAGAAACGTGTTTACTACCTGCTTGCTTAAAATAGAACAGAATAGAAAAGAATAACAGTACTAGAGTTATAAAAAAAAGTTGAAACTTGGCTCAAAACTAAGAGACCCTAGAATTCTTTTGTAAGGTAAGCAGGCCCATTATATAATAAAGAATTTGACTGGCCTTTATCCCTGGTTCCTGAAAGAGAGGCTAAATCCTGGGAATTTCTCAAGTAATAGAACTGTCTTTATTATTCAAGAACCCCTTGGATCACACCTGAATTTATGCTGAGAGATAAAATAACTCAGGACAGGGGCTGCTCACTAGAAAGACCAACCATGTGATCAGAGGTGTGCCTGCTGTACCTCTGTAAAAGGGAGAGGGGCTGTAGGTTGAGTTTAATCATGTGGCCTATGATTCAATCAATCATGCTATTGTAATGAAACCCTGATAAAAATTCTGGACACTGAAACTCAGTGGAACTTCTTGGTTGGTGAACACATTGATGTGATGGGAGGATGACATGCACAGGGAAAGAAAACAGAGCAGCTCTGTGTCCAGGACCCACCCAGATCTTACACAACATGTCTCTTCATTTGGCTGATCCTGACCTGTATCCTTTATAATAAAACTAGAGGCCCGATGCACAAAATTCGTGCAAGAGTAGGCCTTCCTGCCCTAGCTGGTTTGGCTCAGTGGATAGAGCGTTGGCCTGCGGATTGAAGGGTCCCAGGTTCGATTCAGGCCAAGGGCACATGCCTGGGTTGCGGGCTCGATCCCCAGTGGGGGACCTGCTGGAGGCAGCCAATCAATGATTCTCATCATTGATGTTTCTCTCTCTCTCTACCCTTCTCCCTTTCTCTCTGAAATCAATAAAGAAATATATTTTTAAAAAAAGAGTAGGCCTTTCCTTCCCCGGCTGCTGGCACTGGCTTCCCTCCGGCACCCGGGACCCAAGCTTCCCTCCCAACTGCCGGTTGGTTGCAGCCGCAGTAGCTTTCCTCGGCCCTCGCAGCCCCGGCTTCGTCCAGAAGGTCGTCCGGAAGGACATCTGGTGTAATTAGCATATTATGCTTTTATTATTATTACTAGAAGCCCGGTGCACAAAAATTTGTGCATGCGGTGGGGTCCCTCAACCCGGCCTGCGCCCATTTGCAGTCCAGGACCCCTTGGGGGATGTCCACCTGTCGACTTAGGCCCACTCCCCGGGGGATCAGGCCTAAGCTTGCAGTCAGACATCCTTCTGGCAGCCAGGGAGCCCTCGGGGGATGTCCGACTAAAGGCTTAGGCCCCCAAGGGAGCTGTGATGAGGAAGCTGGGGTGACAGAGGAGCCACGCTGTCCCACCCCGCCACCCTGGGTCAGGTCGCACACGGGACACCCGGGCGGACCGGCGGATCGCTGCTGCCCCACCCGGCCGCCCCGGGTCGGGTCTCACACGGGACGCCCGCCGCCCTGGGTCGCAGATAACAGACCCGGGTGGCGGCAGGGCAGGCGGGATGGTGCTGTCCCGCCCCACCGCCCCGGGTGGCAAATAGCAGGCCCGGATGGCGGCGGGGCAGGAGGGATGGCGCTGACCCGCCCTGCCTGCAGTATGCAAATTAGCCGTCATCTTTGTTGGCAGTTAATTTGCATATCGCGCTGATTAGCCAATGGGAGGTGTAGCAAAGGTACGGTCAATTACCATGTTTGTCTATTAGCTAGGATAGAAGATAGTGATCATAAGCATAGTGCTTTCTTGAATTCTATCAAATAAGTTGTTATAGTGAATTGTTGAACCTGAGCGGATCATAGGAGCCCCCAAATTTGTAGCCAGTTGGTCAAAAAATACAGTGGCCCCATCTGAAGTAGAAGCAGTTTTGTGGAGAACTAAGCGCTTAACTTGTGGCATCTGCTCTAACCAGAGGTGCTCAGTGTCACAACTGAATTGCCACTTGGTGTCAGAATAACGTCACAATTCCAAACTGTAACAAAAACATTTGTAAGAAAATACAGAATCTTCTAAAACAAAATTCAAGTTGTAATAATTGCACAAATTATACTCCCAATGGAATATAGCATTGTGATTTAATCAGATAATACATTTTATATTCCTAAACTAATAGGGACTTTAGATCTAAAAAAGTATTAATGTAATTTTTACATTTTTCTGGTTGTCAGGAGATTATTTTATCTTTCCTCCTGAATTTGCCCTTATCTTTATTTACCTTTAAATCTATACCAGTCATATTGATAATAATAATCTAGCAGTGTATAATTTTATATTCATACAACCAAGGAAGACTTCTGAGAGACCACACAGAATCACAGTCTGCCCAAGTCTGCTCTTTATCCATGGGGGGGTGTATACCTGAGATGTTGGGAGGGACAAGTATACAAGTTTTGAAACCATATCAGAAATAATCAAGATTCACACCCTCAAGACAGAAAGGTGAATAAGATTTCTTAACAGTTAAGAAGCATTTCTCTCTTTTTCCAGTCGACTATCCCTCACCAAACTGGACACACATCCGCAAATAAAAAAGTAGGACAGGGAGAGCAATTCAGAAAGACAAGGGGAGCGATGAGGAGAGAAGGAAATCACAAGCAGCTCTGCAGCCTGACTACAAATCACTGCCCAGAGGGAAGAGGTGTAGAAAGCAGGAAGAAAAGGAGAATGTCCTGAGAATTGCAAAGAGCATTAAGTACAGCTTGTAGTTCTCCACAATTATTCAAGGAATGCAGGAAAAGAAAGACGACTGAGAGCTGAGCCCATGTGTGCCATGAGTACTTCGCCGCTCGCTGAAGGACAACCATTTGTTTCTAGAAAATGAGATTCTGAAACCCATGGAGGCAAAAATGTACCTAGAGGTGCTTGCAAAATCAAGGACATATACTTTTCTCTGCCAGCCATAAGGTATTTTTGAGGTAGAAAAGTAAAAGGATCTTCTGAGACAAAGAAGAGAAGTACTTTTTCTGAAGATGCCTCTCTGCTCATCTGCTGACCTCTGCTGGATCGACAGTGGCATCCAGTGGCCAAAAGTCTCAGCACAGACTCCTTTGTCTCTAGGAAGGGTTTCTACTGCTTTGGGTGAAGTGGCAATTCAGAACAAAGCTATTTCTGGTGTGTATAACTAAGGATCCCCAAAGACACAGCACTTTGTAATATAAAGTGAAGAACCAAAGGCTATAAAGAAGAAATGGAGGGGAGCAGCTTAAGATTGCTGTGGTATATTTATATTTCCTGTGGTATTACTAAAAAGAATGAAAATACAAAAAGGGATGAACATATGTGTGGGTGGAATTCCTAGGTTTTCTGTGCCTCAGAATAGTTTAAAAATAAATGAGCATACAAGATAAAGTGTTTTCACTTTAAAACCAAAGCAATACTGAAACAAATTTCCATATGTACATTTAATTTTTTTAAGGGCTTAGGAAGGGGATATCATGGAATTAGTATGACTTGTTAAGTAATTTACTTGAATTTCAGCTTGCTTCTGGAGTGTGATTTTTAAAAACTGATTGCATGTCAATTGCTATGAATTCAGGTGTCTGTTTTTAGGGAGATCATGAAATTGGCTTAGGTATCACCTTAGCCCATAGCAAACTATTGAAAGGAAAAGCATTCCACCCAAGATATTTTCATGTTCCAAGTGTTCACTTAAACTGCTAAAAAAGTGATTTTCTGGCAAAGTTCCAGCAAGTTAACTGCTAGGAAATTCTTTCCTCAGTGACACAATATAAGCAAAAATGAATGAAGTTATCCTAAACTTTTATCTTAATTAGACTATACATTATCTCTCCAAGTCAAAGGTGAGAAAAAAAAAGAAGTGGGCAGAAGAGGCTCTCATCTCCTGGTTTAAATTTGTTCATTTTCTGCTCTGTATTTCTAGCTTTTAAAAATATGGAATTGCCCTAACCGGTTTGGCTCATTGGATAGAGTGTCAGCCTGCAGACTCAGGGTCCCAGGTTCAATTCCAGTCAAGGGCATGTACCTTGGTTGTGGGCACATCCCCAGTAGGAGGCGTGCAGGAGGCAGCTGATCGATGTTTCTCTCTCATCTATGTTTCTAACTCTCTATCCCTCTCCCTTCCTCTCTATAAAAAATCAATAAAATAGATTTAAAAAAAAATATGGAATTGTCATACACATTACTCCCCTTAACTCTCCTGATGGAGTGCTGGCTGGCTCAGGTGCACATAACAGCTCAAACTCACCTGTTTGGATGAGATGTGGGCAACATGAACTGGAATTCCACCACGCAGGTGTTATCCTTAAGCTGGCGGTGTTGTACGCTGTTAAGTTCATAGGCAATATAAGCCCTTCGAACATACACCTGGTTAAAAAGTAAGCCTCAGTAAATACACTTTAAAATCAGAAGGTAAGAGATGGTTAGCCCAGAAAAGAGACAGTCTTGAAAGAGGTATCTGAGACAGAAGGTGGTCTATCGTGACAGAATTCTCAAGGCTCCATATAAAAATACCCTGCCTTAACTAATAAAGCTGGAATCTTAAAACTACACCCATGACTATAAATAGAAACAAAACTATCCTGACTCTACTGGATACCTCTAGGTGTGCCGTAAACCTTTCACATTAACCTAAAGTCAGGAGAAGGTTTGCTCTTCAGCAAACCAGAGCATATACAACCACAACTATTACTTCATTACGCATAATCATTTCAACAGAAGATAAACACAAGCATGAGAAAAATGAGAGTTGCTGATTCTGGGCCACATGAGGAGTGAAGATAGAAAAACTTGTAGTATAGTCCAACCTTTTTACTATCCTGTACATTATTTTGTTCAGTTTTCATTTAAAAATCATTTTTAGCCCTAACCAGTTTGGCTCAGTGGATAGAGCATCAGCCTGCGGACTCAAGGGTCCCAGGTTCGATTCCCGCCAAGGGCGTGTACCTTGGTTGTGGGCACATCCCCAGTAGGAGGTGTGCAAGAGGCAGCGATCAATGTTTCTCTCACATCGATGTTTCTAGCTCTCTATCCCTCTCCCTTCCTCTCTGTAAAAAATCAATAAAATATATTTTAAAAAAATAAAAAATAAAATAAAAATCATTTTTAGATTATTTACATCACCCAAACACTAGGCAAAAGCATAAGGCATAATTTGATATATAACATCTCAAACACACTACTTGACTCAAGAGTTAAGAGAAATAGCAACAGGCTTCATCTCAGCCAAAAACCATCAGTCCAACCTCGGGCACTTCAGACCATTTGCCACGCACAGGAAATGCTACATAGAATTCTATCAGCATGTGAGATATATAAGGAGGCTTCTCATTAAATGGCATGGAAGTACTATAAAACACTTAGATATTTTTAAGATTTGGTATTTACTGATACATTACATGCTACCCACAGAATACAATAGCGTAACTCAAAAGAGCTCACAACAGACTGGTAGTGATGTCACATTACATAAGATCATCTAAAACACCCCTTTTCCTCATCTTCAAAAAACACCCACTTGGCAATTTTACAGCAGTATTCAGGGCCTGCAATTTTTATGTTTAATGAGGTAGTGAGCTGTAGTGGAAACAGAAAAGTCTGTGAGTCAGATTCAAATGCAAACTCTTCTACTTATCTCTGTGAATTTAGACAAGTCACTTAACCTCTCAGAGTCTCACTTTCTTTTTCATGAAATAATTGTAGGACTAAGTGAGAAAAATAAAGCACCTAAAATACAGTTCATTAAATGTTATTACTTTTTTTTTCTCATGATGAAATACTTCACAAGAACTGCTTGATAATTCAAGATATAACTAAAATCCATTTTATTTGGCCTAAATCACAAAATGGTACATGTTTTGATCGACCATATACATTTTTTCACTTATTGTGTTATAGGGAATCCTAATTCATTATGACATGAGAGAATCAAATATATCTAAGAAGTAGAAACTATAAAAAATGCTGGCAGCTATTTTCCTGTGACTAGGGCCTAGAACAGCCGTGGGCAAACTATGGCCCGCGGGCCGGATCCGGCCCATTTGAAATGAATAAAACTGAAAAAAAAAAAGACCGTACCCTTTTATGTAATGATGTTTACTTTAAATTTATATTAGTCCACACAAACACTCCATCCATGCTTTTGTTCCGGCCCTCCGGTCCAGTTTAAGAACCCACTGTGGCCCTCGAGTCAAAAAGTTTGCCCACCCCTGGCCTAGAAGCTGGTGATTAGTTCAGCTGAAACACTTGGGTCAAGGAAGACCATAGTTCAGCATTAGTTTCAGGGGAAACGAAGACTCTACTCTTAAGAACTAACCTTAGGCCAAAGAAAAAGAACTGATACGATAGCCAAATAGAAGAGTTCAACCAGAAACCAAGAAAAAGGTTATGTCATGTTATGTTACTAAGAAAACTTACCTCCAGAGCTGCCATCCGCACCACCTGGTTGCTGTGGTAGAAGAAGTTTGGTAGGACATCAAAAATAGATGTTTCAGATAAGATGAGTTTCTGGAAGGTACAAAGACAAACTTAAATCATTACAACCAAAAGAGAACAATTTCAATGGACATATTTAGCATTTGAAGCGTTTTAGTGAAACTTAAGGTTTTTGTCTATGAATGTCATGTGATCACAGCTTCCTCAAACTACAAAATGGGGACATAATAGTACCTATGTTCACAGGCTGTTGTGAACATTCAAAGAGTTAATAATTCTTAGAATGCATCAATAATGCATTAATTATATGCTAATGTAAGTGTTTATGACTATTATTACCCTTTCTGACATATATCTGTACTCAATTTCTTAAATATTGTCTCAATACTCCACTATGGTAAACCATAGATTTGAACTCCATCTGAAGTCCTCTATTTCAACTATGAACCAAATAAACAAAAACATCCTTCTTCCCTCTCTAGGTTCCCCAGAAGGAAATCTGACAAAAAGCCTGAAGGTTCCCTTGGCTAGATATAACAATATTATCCCTACGTACAGATAGACAAATGAAAAGTCATTCCTGAAAAAAATGTTGTTTAAAAAATAACAGTCAAGATCCTTGCAACTAGTAAAATTAGCCAGTACTTTTTTTATAAAATTGGCTCTATATAAAGCTTAACAGTAAGCATGAAAATAAAATAAAAGCACAAGAGGTAGTAGACTTCAATAGGACACTTCTATCAAGGCAAGTCTATTTGATTTTTAAGCTAAGCCACAATTCTAACAGTATTTTTAATGAAAAAAAATTCATAAGTATAAATCATTTTAGAAAGTTAAGGTATAAAACTTCATTGCATGAAAAATCAAAATTGATTGATTGATTACTCAATTAAACTATGCTTGGAGTAAAGGGAACAAAAGCGCAGAGAGGTGTAGAAAAGGGCTATAAGTATACCTGCAGGTTCTCAATGCAAAACTGATGTCCGTACATGTCAATAGCTGATAGGAAGATAGACTCTACTTGGTTATGGCGAAGCTCATATGATGGCAAATGGGAGGCAATAAGAACCTAGAGTGAGAGCAAAATAAGAGGCATAAATTCCTGAGGGAGTGATTATTCTAGGCTCCTATTAGGCAGCTCTGATACAAAAGCAATAAATATAAATCTCTAAGTGCAGGCATCAAAGATAAAACAGAGACCAAGTGAAACAACTTCTAGGTCCTGTAACATAAAGCCAATGCCACCAAATACTGCATCTCAGTTGACTCTCACCATGATTTGCGTTGTGGGCAATTTCCCATGGGGGGAAGGGGGAAGAGAGAGAAAACAGCTTCAATCAAGTTCCATCAGTGCATGTGATTTACCATTGCAAAGCCGCTAGTCCTCGGGACTGCTTGACTAGCTGTTAATTGGGAATCAGGTCTGGCAGGGAGCAGCTGTGGGGAAGGTGGATGCAGCAGAGCTAGCCTTTTGCAACTCTGAAGTAGAAAGACAGACTAGGAAAAACTGGTCTGACGGCCCCAGGTACTCAGTATCAAGGAAAAGGCATCGGGATGTAACACCAATGCATGTGAGGGGCAGAGAGAGTGAAAGCTGTGTCACAAACAAACAGGGACACGGTAGGACCTGAATACTCTCAGCAGGTCACTGAGAGGTTCAATGACTTTGAGTAGTTCAGTGACATGGATACAATTGTAGAGAAAGCAGAAGGTCACTGAGCAGCTTCAAATGCTGCTTCCCTGTCAGTGACCATGCACTGAAACACAAAGGGAGCAGACAACTCTTGGCTTCCCTGCTGAAACCTTTTGGAATGGAAATGAAGACTACAGGGTGAAACTAACTGGACTTCTCTGGGGTTGTTCTGATTGCTAGCACCTAAGATTCATTTCATTATCTTTCTACTTTCCACACTTGATTTCTTTTCCTATACACTTAAAAGTTCTCACCTGCTTCTAAGCTCCCTTTGAGAAGTAAGAAATGTCGAGTCTATTGCCTTCCTCCACATGACCCTGATTTACCATCACAGGGCTAAGCAGGAAGGGTAGGAAACGACAACAGGATTTTATATGGGGAAAGGGCTCCTATTTTAAAGATACTCACCATTAATCTCCTTTCTCTTTAAAAAACATGTATCACATGAAAACATTTGTTCTGAGGGCAATGGACATAGACATCTGCATTTTGTAAGTTGATGAAGTAAAAGCTCATTGCCCAATCTATGAAAACCATTCCTCCCTCACGATAACCAACAAGTGTCCTTACCTGGCGTGCTCGGAGTGCCACTTTAGCATTGGTGGTCTTACTGAGTTGAGTTAGCTCTGTGAGGATATTCAGCAGCTCATCAGTGAGTGTAGGGTCCCGGCCACACAACTGATCCTAATTGTTTATGTGGGAAAGAACATACATATCCACATGAGAAGACACTGAGGTGGCCAAGACTTTGAAATGGGGAAAAGGGAATAAAAACAAAGTCAACATAGCTGGATTAATAAAAAAAATGCAAACTTTCCAGTATTCTTTTGTTTTTAGTCTCAAGCAATGTGGTAAAGATGATCCCAGAAGATGTTGCTGCTAGGGGAAGAAGCCTAAATCCTTTAGTCATTCAGATTTAAAATTCCAAATGTATTTCTTTATAAACCAACACTATACTTTTAAAATGCAGAAGAAATCATCAGAGATCATTAAAAAGGGTCAAGGGATTCTGCGTTAAGAAATAACAAATGATGTGTTAAGAGGTTTTAAATAATATAGTGACTAAGGTTCCTGTTCCCTCTTTAAGGGAAAAAAGCAAAATGTAAAGCAAAAGGAACCACTCTTGGTGATTTTCATTCCACAAACCAAATGTTCAGCATCCCAGGAGGGTGCCAAACAGAAACACAAGAACAAAGTATTCATTTATAAACACACACTAAATAAAAACACCATCTCATATTCTGACAATTTTATACCCAAAAATCATTTATCCTCTTGCTATACAGGAAGCGCAAAGAACACCAAACAAAAGGAATCCAAAGAGGACCACACCAAGACACATCATAATTAAAATGCCAAGAGCAAAAGACAAAGAGAGAATCTTAAAAGCAGCAAGAGAAAAACAGTTACCTACAAGGGAGTACCCATAAGATTGTCAGCTGATTTCTCAACACAAACTATGCAGGCCAGAAGGGAGTGGCAAGAAATATTCTAAGTGATGAATAGCAAGAACCTACAACCAAGATTACTTTACCCAGCAAAGCTATCATTCAGAATTGAAGGTCAGATAAAGAGCTTCACAGATAAGAAAAAGCTAAAGGAGTTCATCACCACCAAACCAGTATTATATGAAATGCTGAAAGGTATTCTTTAAGAGGAGGAGGAAGAAGAAAAAAGTTAAGGAAGTGCATGTTGTTTTCACCTATTTAACGCAGGAATTCACTCATATGAGGGGGAAGAAGACAAGCTGCTAAGTGACTATAAATCCAGGGTTTGGCTGAGCATGTAGTCAGTCACAGACCAGAGGACCTATCCCACCTATCCTAAGGCATAAACGCAAAGAGGAGAGAGAAAATGCACCTCATCGTTTATTGAGAGCTAACAAGCAAAATAGAATTTCACAGGAATAGAATGGGGCAAAAGTAGGTTTACAGCTGTTCCTATGTAAAATAATACAAGAATTAAAAAAATACAATAAATTGTGTTTTAGAACCTACTTTTGCCCCACCCTGTATATAAAATAACCAAGAAAAGACCATAAAAAGACAGAAGGAAAAGAACAGATAGATAACAGTGGGTAAGGAAACCTAGATAAGATTTTCCTCCATAAATCCCTCTTTACTCATTGTTCCTAATAGAGAAAACATATTCCTTTCCAAGGTCCTTACTTCAATCATCACACTGACCCACTGAAATATTTAAAAACCTAAGAGATGTCCTGGGTAATGCTACTCTGCAAATAGCCAGACTGAAGTCTCAACATTAACAACAAAAGCCAACATAACAAATGAGAACACTAGCCACCTACCCAACCATTTCCTTAAAGGAAAATCTAGGTTTACATTTTGAGATTAAACTAAAATAAGTAAGTAAAAATAAAGTTACTGTCTTGCTTAACTACAGATCCTGTCCCAAGTTAAAAAGCAAAACACACAAAGCGACTTTTAAAAAAAACTTTTTAAATTCCATCTTTCTGCTAGGAGAGAAAGGGAGTGCGAAAGGGGGTAGAAAGAAACAGTATCTGTAAGAAAAGTGAACTATGGAGGTTAGAAAATATAGATTAGAAAATATGTTAAGATTAGAAAATGTATGACAATCTTCCTGAGCTCTGTGATAAAGTACAGAAACCAGACCTTTCTGGGATGTTTATTCCACAGTAGGCATAAACCACTATTTCCATTAGTTTATCCTGACTTGGAAATTTTCCATTCAAATATTTTCTCCATTGTCATCATTAGTACTTAGACAAAGATTGACAGTAGAAACTTATGTGTAGAGTAATCTTCGCAACCCTATCTCATCCTTGACCTATAGACACAGTGTAAATGTTCTTAAAAAAACAAACAAAAACCACCAGATAAAACTTTTCTGTTCATCAGAACTACCCATCCCAAGATACAAACATCCAAAAACAAGTTTAGGGTCCTCTTGCCTAAAAGGCAGACTTCCTTCGGGCAACTGGACAGCCCAACATCACCATCTAATCCTGGTGAACATTTTGCAACAATGACATGAAATGGTAACTATGTCAACAGATGTTTTCTCATTATAAAGCAGTTCATTTAATAAGCCTACCTGCCGCTTTTGGGATGACAGGACGCTTGCATACGTTTGCAGGCCCAAGTGAAAATTATTATTCAGTAATGGTTAATATTGGTACCACACAGTATTTCTTGTTTTTATTCTTAACCCTGATGGTGGCTAAATGATGGGGAATATAACATACATGCTTAAGTATCAAAACCGTAGCCAAGCCGAACCGGTTTGGCTCAGTGGATAGAGCGTCGGCCTGCGGACTCAAGGGTCCCAGGTTCAATTCCGGTCAAGGGCATGTACCTTGGTTGCGGGCACATCCCCAGTAGGGGGCGTGCAGGAGGCAGCTGATCGATCTCTCTCGTCGATGTTTCTAACTCTCTATCCCTCTCCCTTCTTCTCTGTAAAAAATCAATAAAATATATATTTTTTTAAAAAACCGTAGCCAAGTTATACAGCTGACTGCCAGAAGAGCAGAAGGTAATCCAACTTGATCTTAGCATCCTAAGATTTGAAGGCAATCCAAAATGAAAAGAATGGGACCTAGTGTGTAATGAGCTCAAGACATTAACTACATTTAGCTGGGTGAGCCACTAATCCCCATACCAGAAATGGTCTGGTAGGTTCTACCAGCCACAGCTTATTCAGGAAACCAGGTTCGCTGAGAAAAACATTTTTCTTTACCACACATTGGACAAAATTATTTGCAGTCATGTAAAGAGGAGGGAGAAAAGGCACTGACCAGCATTTTCAATGATCCCTGTCTAAACCAAACAGGCTCACAGGCATGGCATTACTCACAAGGAAGTATGGTTTATATCATGTTCATGTGGACCATATCAGAAATAAGATATATAAGTAGTGAAGGGATAACTACTCAAGTAGTCACTATGTACTACTTAGCTATCTAGACAGCTATGAGGGTGTTGATACATTTTACTGGTACAAAATTGCTTAAGTTGGCTGAAGAGCCTCCTAAATATCTCTTAGTAAGCATAAACAATGTCCTAAGCTGTTTCCTAGGAAATTAAATAAATAAGAAGAGCTTTCAAAATAATAAACTTACTGTTTGTCTTCCAGACTTTTTCTACCGTGGCATAAAATTTCTCAAAATGGCCGAAACCGGTTTGGCTCAGTGGATAGAGCGTCGGCCTGCGGACTGAGGGGTCCCGGGTTCGATTCCGGTCGAGGGCATGTACCTGGTTGCGGGCACATCCCCAGTGGGAGATGTGCAGGAGGCAGCTGATCGATGTTTCTCGCTCATCGATGTTTCTAACTCTCTATCTCTCTCCCTTCCTCTCTGTAAAAAATCAATAAAATATATTAAAAAAAATTTTTTCTCAAAATGGAGAAAACTTGACCGAACTTTTGCATTTTACTTGATATTTTGCTATTCCAATAGGGTGAAAGATTAGAAGAAATTTGCTTGTAAGTCCTTGAGGCATGTTATCACTAGGCAAGTTATGCGAATACCTGGAAGGGATGAAGGCTTCCTTGAAGCAACCCGTGTTCCGTAACACTGATTCACAGAAGCCCGGATTTCTAGCCTTCACTCTAGATTCAAAACCCCCAGAAATCATCATCTAGCTCAGCAAAGCACACCATCAACACTCCTACTTCTAGAAAGCAGGGATTGGAATGCCGGGCACAAAACCATCAATCAGGAAGCTAAAGTAAGCAAAGAAAGTGAAACCAGCTGAGAATACAAACTAGGGGATTCAAGTGCTGCCAGGTCCAGGTGATACCTGTAAAAGACAGTCAGACCTACAGAAAGAGGAATCCAAACAACTAAAATGGCTTTGACCAGCTACCACCATTAATGCAGACGTGGGGTGGGGGACCTGACCGTTGCCACAGAAGGAGAGAGGAAGCCCATGTCTGGCATTCATTAATATCAGAGCAGAAAGGAGCATATTTTGAGCTTTCATCCCTGATCCTTACGTCACTGCTAGCAGATCCTCAGCTCAATCATATCAATTAACGTCTTGATTTCCAAATCTCAAAATGAGGTGAAAACAGCTGGTATTTTCAAGTTAATGATATGAAAGCCTACAGATCCTCCTATGTTTATCGAGTTTTGTTTTCTTTTTAAAAGAAAAATGTGAAATGCCAAAACAAAAAAAAGGACAAATCCATCTTTCTGGTTCACATCTTCAACCTTCCTCCTCCCCCTTCTCCTCCTCCTCTTGTTCCTCTCCTCCCCATCTTATTCCTGCAAACCCAAACACTAACAAAGTGCTCAGTCTGTTGGAAAGTTTGGGTACTATCCATGCAGGTAAGAAGTAATCAGGATGACAAGGTGGAGAGAAAAAGAACAGCAGCAAGTCAGAGTCCCATTGGCTTCTGCCTGTCCGACTGGCAAAAGCAGAAAGCAAAGCCTCAAACCAGTTCTCTGACAGGGCCCAACGCCTCGGCTGCACCCCCGTGTAATTACACACTTGAGTGACTGGACTCTGAAGAAAATTGAAGGCCTGAGCTCCGAACAGCTGCCATTTTCTCTCTCCATCACACCAGCGTGATTACTTGAGAAATGAACAGCCCCGGCTCAAAGCTACTCCAGAATTCTCAGAGGAAATATGGCTCCGTGTTCCAATAATGAGATTCTTAAGGCAAGCGTTACTTACAATCACTCCGCAAAAGGAGCGAGCCGAGCCCCTATATCTTACAAATTAGAATTTAAGAAACCCAGCGACAGTCTTAGACGATCATTACTCTTCTGCTGCTCCAAGGATTCTGGGCTTTGGTCTATTTTTAGTGCAGAAAACTGTTAAGTCCTTAAAAAGGTAATCATAATAAAATGAAAACTCACCATAATTAGCTTCCTAAGAAGGCAAATTCCACCCCATTTTAGGGTCAAACAGACAGATTCTTCCACTCCCTTATCATTACCCTTTTCTATCAGAAAGTCCTGGCTTTATCCAAATGAGAATTAGCAATCTTTGTATTAAAATTTTTTAAAAAGTCTAACTAGTCAGAGATTTCTTCCCTCTTTTGAGAAAAAAAAAAATCAGTCAAGTTGCCATAGATAGTATCACTTCTTTGTCAAAACCTGTCACTTGGGGAAACTGAAATGCTACATAGTGCTGATATATTTTTTCCTTTCAAATGCATATCCTGGTTTCCCCACCATCTAGCCATTCTAGAGTAATAAAGGTAATGAACTCTCCCTACAATTAGATACTTTTAAAAGTGGGTATTCTAAAAAAATGTTATATCCTCTCCAGTTAACCAGCTAGGCAGATAACTGAATGAGTGGTGCTGTTGTGAGGTAGTTTCCCTTCATTCTGATATACGAAATAAAAAAAGCAGTGAAAATTTATAGCTTTTTTTCCTCCAAGAAGGAATGATGAAATTAAGGTATCAAAAATGCCAATTCCATAAAGGGACAAGAAAGGAAACTCTAGAAGCCAAACATACTCTAGTCCCCCAAAAAAGACACACATGAAGGAGCAAGGCAATTGTTCATGGGGTGGGGGACTCTAAGAACAGTCCTATTGTTCTCTGATTCCTAGAATTAACAGAAAAATCTAAGAGCGAAGGACTTACAAATCATCTTTAAAAATCCTTAAGTCCACAAAAATTCCATCCACTAGTCAAATGTATGTTAGTCCTATCCACATCGACTAGTCTCACTGCTCATTCCCACTTTCTACTAACTTTCATATTACTAGGTTATGGGGACAAAATCATGTATCTACTCCCCAAACAACACTGAGCTTAGATTTTCCATGTGAATAAAACAGAAAGGGACCAAAAAAAATGCAGAATACATTTAAATATCTTTCTTTGGTAGGGAAAGGGCAGCACTGGATTTCTAACAGTTATTTTTTGCTTTTACGTTTTGGACATGAGAACCATTGCTGATATTCATGGAACAAACCAGAGTTATAATGAAAAAGTACACTGGCTGGATAAGACTAAATTTCAAAGCTACTGTCATGAGTGACATCAGGAATGAAGCAGCACAGGGCATCTCTAAGTAGAATCAAGAGATCTGAGTCCCTGCACATGATTATATGCATAACAGCCAGAACAATTCTTTCCTGAGTGGAGCAGGTTCCTTCAGGTCAAGGACAAAGACAGATGTGAGAAATTGTTAATCCACAACCCGAGCCCCACTCATCTTACAATTATAAAAGACAGGAGCTTTTCCTCTGACCACAGCCACCAGAAGGAGAAATACTTTTTTTCATATTATTAACCATTCTTATAGGTTCTGAAAAATTGTACTCACAATAAGCATTGTGACCAGAAGATTCTTCTTGGTGACTTGAGCATGAGAAAAGATATAGTTCAGTACAGTGTTCATGTCACTCTTATTCTCCTCTCGAAGAGCGAAGACACATTTGTCATAGTGACCTGCAAGCAGCAAAAAGAATTGGTTCTCACCCATGTATGAATGTTCACGGTTACATGCTATTTGTTTTTTAATGTCTTTACTTCATCTGATAAGCTGTGAGAAGAAATATCTTGAGAATTTTCTTGGAGGAGTTTGGACAGAATTGGCAGTCTGGTTTAGTCAAAGGAACAGTGGACTAGGAGTTAGGCAATCCAGTATAAGACCTGAGCTCAAAAGCCTCGCTTGGATCCCAATATCCGCTGTGCTCCTGGAAAAATCACTCTACCTCTCTGAGCCTGATTTTCATTAAAAAGAATTGAGAGGTGGAGGAGGGTGTACAGAAGAGACTAAGGGGTTGCGGACAACTCCAACTCCCCACCCTTACTCGAAACTCTCTCTTAGCTTCCTGGAATGATTTCCTTACAAGAGAGGGTTCTGCTGCTTAAAAAGAAATGTCAATACCATTAAACCCGATGATCTTTAAGGCCTACTCCAAGTTAATATTCTGGTTCCATGTCTGACTCACTGAAAGTGTTTCACCCTAACTGGAAGGAACAGTTTTAGCTAAAAATAAAACAATGCAAACTTCTCAACAACCACAAGAAGGATGGCTGCAACCTCTGGAGTCAACATTTTCCCTTGTAAGTCCATGAAACTACTAACAAATGCCTAGGAAGTCCTAATCCAAATGAAGGCATAGATCAAGGAGAACCTTGCGTTGAGTCAAAAGGTCTGCAGGGAGAGCAATTATGTATATTTTCACTGGCCTTTCACAAGGCCACCAGGGACAGGTTGGTTCTAGCCAGGAAAGCTGTTTTGCAACAGAAGCATAAGCTTCAGATATACTGTAGTGATATCCACCATGGGATATAAGTAATAGTCACTTCTTTGGGAAACAGCTTACCTCAGAATTAAATTTCCAAATATAGGAGAATTAGAGTGTGAGTAATCTCAAGGGTGAGAATTTTACGAAATCATGAAAATATTAAATGATTATCGCCTCAGTTCAGATTCCATGTTAAGTTACAAACCAAAACAGTGGTATTCAAAATGCATTACCATGGATTGATTCCCAGAATACTAAGGACACTAAACCAGGGCAACTCTGCTTTCATCTATTTTAAATATTAAAGATGGATGTAAGATTTTTTCAACATGAAACTAAATATATTTGAAAAACAGTGGACTACAATATTTAAAAGAGCTGCCAATTTAATAAAAGACCCATTTAGAACAAAATGGAAGCTGTTTAAAAATTGGATGTCCTATATAAATTCATATTTCTCCCAACAAAGACTTAGCTTTGAAATGATAACAGAAATATATCTTGGTAACAGGAATTACTAGGACCAGGAGAAGTAAAAAGGATATTTACCCAGGGAAAAGGCAGCAGAGACACTAAGCAGAAAGCAAGCAATGATATCAAGTGTTCTCTTTTTTAAAACTTTTTTATTGTGAAATACACACACAGAGGAATAAACATCTATCTTAAATAGAACATTTTTAGTACCTTTGAAGGGTCCTATGTACTCCTCCTCTGAAACAGTTACTAAGCTGAATTTCATGCTAATCACTCTTTAACTTTTCTTTACATTTATCACAGATGTACACATAGTTTCATTTTCCCTGCTTTTCAAATTGGTAACAATGCAATCATTGTGTATGGATCCCTCAATAACTGGTTTCTTTCCCTTAACATTACATTTTTGAGATTCGTCCTTTTGTTCACATGTGTACCTTTGTTCATCCATTCTCACTGCTGTACAGTAATCCATTGTAGAAATACACTGTACTAGATTTCAATTATTTATTCTACTTGTGTATATTTAAAGTGTTTCCTGTCTTTCTTACTATCATGAACAATGCTGCCACAAACAGTCCTGTATATGTCTCCCAATAAACACGTGTTAGACTCTCTATAGTATATTACCTAAGAGTGAAACTGCTAGTTGAAGAGTATACAAAAGTTCAACTCTATTAAGTATTGACAAACCATTTTTTAAAATTAAATATTTAATGTTGAAAGTATTACATATACGTGTGGATCTATTTCTGAGCTATTATGTTTCATTGGTCTACTAATCTGTCCCTACACTATTATCATTTCAAATACCCTACTAGAATTTGTATTACAATGTTAATAAATCTACAAATGAATTCAGAGAGATTATTTTGCAAGTGTATATTCCTATCTAAGATTATGATTATTTAGATTTTTTTATTATTAACTAGTTATGATTTTCTCCAAAAGATGCTTGTACATTTATTTTCTTGGATTTATTGCTTAGTATTTATTTTGGGTTGTTATTTTAAATGGTATATTGCTTTTCTAAACAACTGTTCTACTAAAAAGAAATACATTTGAATTTTGTATATTGCCTTTTGTATGTAGCAACCTTTTAAACTTCAAATAATTATAATAATATGTGGATTCTTGAGGCTTTCCAGGTAGATATCATACCATATCTAACAGTGGCAGACTTATTTCCTTACTCCTTTCCGGTCCTCATACCTTTCATCCTTTTTCTTGTCTTACTGCACTAGCTAGGACATTCCGTATGATGCTGAATAGGAGTAATGATAGCAGGTGTCCTTGTATTGTTCATAATCTTAAAAATAATGCTTTCAATATTTCACCATTATGTATCCTATAGATTTTTGTTGGAGAATCTTTAAATAACTAATAAAGTTCCATTTCATTCATTTGCCAAAAGTTTTCATGAATGGATATTAAATTTTGTCAAATGCTTTCTCCCCCATATCTGGAGATGATTATCATGTTTCTTCCTCTTTTAAAGTTAATATTAATATTTTTTAATATTAATCGAGCTTACATTAGTGGTATAAAACCTACTTGGTTGTGAAGTATTATTTTATACATTGCTAGATTCAGTGTGTTAATATTTACTTGAGGATTTTTACTGGTTATGAGTGACTGAGCCATCCTTTAAAGCAGGGGTGGGGAATGTTCAGCCTGCAGGCTGTATAAGGCCCGTGAAATCATTTGGTCTGGCCCGCCAAGGCAACCACAGGCAAAACTAGAAATTCAATAAATCTAGGTGCTTTTCTCATAGCAACATAAATTTATATTAAGTGAATTATATTAAGTGAATAATGTTATAAATATCCAAATGGCCTTTGGCAGAAAAAAGATTCCCCACCCCTGCTTTAAAGAATACAAAGGGAGCAAAAAAATAAAATGTTATGTAATATTTCAAAGTATATGGTATTTCACTGCCATCTTGTGGCAGGAAGCAGTATCAGCAGTATATAGCTAGGGTGTTTCACATTTAGAGACTTTATACATCATTTAGTGAAGCTCTTCAGAGAAAGCCAGGGATAAATTCCACCTAAATGGTACACAGAAAAGGAGTGGAAAATCTGAACCTTTTTCAGATGCCTGTGGTTCAATCCATGGATTAGCTGCTGAGAGGCAAGCTCTTCAGATAGGGTTTCTCAATTTCAGCCTGGTCATGATTCAACCAATTCTATACAAGGTCAAGAACACATCAACAGGGAATGCTAATCTCTACTAGAAAAATTATCTCAGTCCTTTCCTAGAAGCACATGGATTCACAATCTCATCAAGCTGTGTTTTGTTGTTCTTTCTTTGGCAGTGGTGGGTTAGAGAGGCTTAATTTTTAAGGGAGTGGTGAAAGGAGGAAGTGTTATTAATGACAAGTGTTAGCGACAGGATGAACTGGCTGGGCTGCTGCACAGTCCTACAGGGAAACTTTCTCAGATACAGTGTCTTCAGGAAGAGGCTTACCGTTCTGGAACTGTGTCTCTACTCGCAGATACTGCCGCAGCAGATCCATCACCACAGCCTTCATGTGGCCTCGGATGCCACTGCGGTACCTAGGCATATAGAACAAGTCTCCACTGAAAAACCTGATGGGCTAACACTATTAATAACAGACTATTAAATAATAAACCCGGAGCCCAGATTTACTTTGTAGAGTTTCCACTGAACATGCTTCCCCTCTGAATATAGGACAGGACAGGGGCCAGCCTAAAATCAGCTAACCGGATTAATTCAAATCTCAAGCCTAAAAGAAATCTGGCTACAGACAAGATTTTTATATATATTTAAAAAAAGAGAGAAATGATAAATAAAAAAAAATAACTACTTGACATCCCTACCTACTTTGGGGTTCAGTTCCCACTGCTAAGTAGAAATGATTACCACACCCGTGAAATGGCTAAGAGATATCTGAAAAATCTACGAGTATCTTCCTTTAGTCCAATAGTTGGTTCTATAAGTTAAGAAGAAATGTTACATTTAGACCTTGTGCCAGAAGAAAAATTAGGTGTTTTATCAAAATTGCAAGAAAAAATAAAATGACATTTCTGTGCCTTAATAACTGACAGAAGGAAGTAGAATAGGAAGAAGTTATCACAAATATTGGGTATAACAGTTAGCTCACAATTCTAAGATATTTAGAAGATATAAGATATTTTCTAAGATATAAGTGCTTTCTAATTTATCTAAGTCAAACCTGAAGTAAATCTTTTTGTGACTACTTAGAAGAAAGGAAGGTATGAGGATGGATAGGTCCGGGAATGTGGAGTTACATGTAACTACCTCTGTACCAGTTGGACAATGCTCTGAGTGTTCATGAAGAAGACTTCCCGTTCAGATTTCCGGTTCAGTGTAGCTGCATGGCTATCCAGGATGTTGGCAATCTAACGTGTAAGAAAGAGAAAAAAATGAAACCCAACCCAATGAAGAGACCCAAAGCATTAACCTGTATAATATCACCACTAAGAATCTTAATTATAACATGATAATTTCTATCTTTTATATGTAGGGAGCAGCTGAAAGTTACTGGGCATAGATTAGGGGCTTATGTTAAATAAGCAAACAACTTTTATTTCTTTTCACCCTTTCCCAAATGAGTTAATGAGTACATCACAAAACCTACCAGAGACCATGACAATCAAGATATATCAAGGGTCAAGGTCAAAACTTTACTACCCGCTTGCCTAGCTTTACTCCCTACATGCAAATTTGCTTTAAGGATACATATGCTGCTGAGGTGTTAAAGAAGTCTTTGATAATAAAACTGTGAATATCCCTCACTTTAAATTCATAAAGATATCTCTGATTTGGGTATATGTCCCTCATAACCACAGATACTTTACATGTCACATACAGTACTTTAATTACTGGGCTTGTATTGTGTGGCAGTTTTTTGAAGGACATAATGCTTAAAACTTTAACAGCACAACATCCAGAGAGTAAAGAAATGGTGGCCATTAGAAAATGATACTGTTGCTCTATAAATACCTGCTGGCTGGGAAACTGACAGAGGACTGATGTGATGTTGCTAGCATACTGAGCCATTTCCTTCTTGATAGACTTCTCCACGTTGGGGGGGATGCGGCCAGAGACACTGGTCATGATATCTTGCAATTCTAGGAGAGGTAAGGAGGGATCTCTGAGGGTCTTCATCAACCGCTCTACCCAGTCTTTTACCTAAGAAGAAGGAAATAATAAAATAGGATCCAGACAAATTAACACAATAAAATGATATATATCTGAATTCACTATCATATAGTACTTACTTCAAAATTGCAATAAAAGCTTCTAACACTGCCCAATTATATGTGAAGTCAATAAAATGAATAAGAAGCAAGGATTTAAAGACTTCAACTCCCTAAACTAAAGGGGAAAGAGGTCCATCTAAAAAAACATTTTTTTGCAACTTTTAAACTATCTTGGAGAACAGGTACCTTACCTTATTTGTACATCCCTTCCCAAAGAGAAGTGATTCATACCCTGCTGCTAAAGAAAGGATCTGGAAGGCAGTATCCATTCATCACGTTGACCAGATTGTCCAGGACATAGTGGAACACTCGATGGAGCTTCTCGCCTCTGAGTGCTGTGCTCTGGATCTGTGGCAGACTGCCGGTGTGAAGCTCAGCCTGTCAACCCAATGAGAAATCAAGTCATCCCCTACCTTCTATGCAGGGTGCAAACATACCACTGCAACTTAGAATCATCATTCAAAAATCAAGACATTCCTTCACCATTTGCAGCTATAAGGAAAGAAGTCAATGGAGGAAGCATCATAAAAAAAAATCATAGAATCTTATTATCATAACTCCTGCAAACTCTAAATTCATAATACTATAAACACAAAAATAAGGCATACAATCAGGGGGAAAAGCTTAAGAAAAACTGGCAAACCAAGCATAGAAATCATTTGCCCCTCCAAATTACCCGTCATATGTAATTAGCTCTTAGAAAGCAGTATTTTTAAAATATGTTTTTATTGATTTTAGAGAGAGAGGAAGGCAGAGGGAGAGATAGAAACCTCGATGCATCAACATTGATCGGCTGCCTCCTGCACGCCCTCTGCTGGGGATCGAGCCCACAACCCAGGCATATGCCCTGACCAGGAATCGAACCTTGACCTCCTGATTCATAGGTCGCCGCTCAACCTCTGAGCCACACCAGCCGGACTAGAAAGCAATATTAAAAGTCCCTTCCTACTTGCCTGCTGGACCTTGCTGGGGTTATCCAACTGCATTTTGGCTATTACACAGCCAGGGTCAAGAGCTGCTCCAGGCCGCTTGACATAATGAATACAGCCAGACTCTATAGCTGTTAAGGTCATTACCATCTTCATCACCTATAATGAAAAATAAATAAAATTAGAATTTAATCTCTCTTTACACAGATGAATGATTTAAGGAGGTCATTTTTCCCCTCATCATCTAAGTTGGACTGTATCTTACTCAATCCAGAAAAATGGAAATCTATCAAAATCTCCAAGAGATTACCAAGAAAGGCCATTAGAAAATCTCTCAGGACCTAGCTTTAAGGATTAATAACAGCTACTGGAATTTCCTATTTTTAACTGTTTAAATCCATTTTTTCATAATTTCTATTTTTACTTGTTTTGTACTTAGAAGTGATGAACAATTTAGTCTCCTCATACTCTCAGATCTAAATGCTCACTCTGCATACATGAGATACCCAAGCTAAAATCTAAGAGTCATTCTTTACTCTTTTTTCTCCCTTATCTACAATTATGAAGCCCAGCCAAATACATCGTCCAAACCTCTCTCAGAAATCTTTTTCTCATGCTAGCTATTTGGTTTAGACCCTCATCATTTGTGGCCTAGAGTACTTCAAAAACCTCCCAAAAGATTTCCCTACCTGCTATGCACCTTCAACAAGGACACTAAGAGCCCAAATCTTGCCCTATCACTTTTCTATGTAAAATCCTTCCATGATAGTCTAAGCTTCTTAGTATGTTTTATAAGGTCCTCCATGATCTCAAATTGTTTACTTATTTAGCATCTTTGCTTGTCATTCCCATTAAAACTTAATCCATTCTTAAGCAATACCAATATGTACTTGCAGTTCCCTAAATATACCATACCCTCTTGCTTCAGTGCCTTTGTACATGGCTGTTCCTTCCCCTTTCAACATTCTTCCCTGCCCTTCTTCACCTGGTCCATTATTATCTATCTCTCAAAACTAAAATCAAAGTCCCTTCTCTCAGAAGTCTTCCCTTACTAGCCACCTACATCCACCCAGCCCCACAGTAACTTGAGTTAGGTGGCCCTCAGCACTCTGTGCTTGGCTCTATCAGATTCATATTTCATTACTTGTCTGTTTAGTGGCCCCCCTCTACCTATCATATTTTTCCTGTATAATCAGCACATAGCACAACACCTAACACTCAATTAGTGCTGTTGAGCCTAGTATCTATTTTTTAGAGCTAGCAATTCCTCATCTGTCAAAAAAAAAAACAACACAACCTGTGAGCTTTGCATTTATTGTTAAAATCTTAAGATTCCTAGCCCCAATTAAACTAACTTATGCTCTTTCCTGTCTATTTTCTATTTACTTTCGGTTACTCTTCAATCCTAGTCTATCCCAGACAACCCCATTCCTACTTTCCCTCCCATGAAACAAAAGCCCTGTCACCCCTCCAACCTCAATCTCAGCATAGCACTGGCCAGAAAACACATGGCCTCCATCCTCCACAATGTACTGGATTAACTTCCCAGCAGAAGGTGAGCGCATCACTGAAGGGTCATTCTCTTTCTCAAACACACAGGTTTTATTGCCAATCGTGATGCGATATCTAGGAGATAAGTAGGGTATGTAAGCCAATAAAGCACCTAAGGAATAATTCTACCATAGGGAATGGTAGAATAATGTCATTCTTAAAAAAAAATACAAACTAATAACTTTATTCTGTACAAACACATGCACACAGGATACTCATTTCATCTTTGTTTATAATGCCAAATAAGCAAAATTCCTTCAATAAGGGTTAGATTAAATCAACTATGATACATCTATATAATAGAATACTATACAACCATTAAAAAGAGCAGGCATCTCTATTTAAAAACAAAACAAAACCCACAAAGATGATAAAGATGTAACAGCTAACATTTCTTAAACCCTTATTATGCCCCAGACAAAGTTCTTAGCACTTTACATATGTTAATTCATTTAACTGTCACAACAACATTGATTGGTGTTGAACAGTCTACAACAGTGGTTGCCAACCGGTGGTCCGCAGACCACTGGTGGTTCATGAAGTCCAAAAGGTTGGCAACCGCTGGTCTACAATATATGTTAAGGAAAAAATAAGGTGCAAAACAGTATCTAAAGATTATTTTTATTTATGAATACATTTAAAAGAAAAAAACAGTACATATATGTAACTTGTAGATGCATGTAAAACTTCAATACTTAAACTGTTAACAGTAGCTCCTTATAAAGAGAACTTATTTTTCATATCTACTCACATTGAAGTGGTAAAGACAATGTTTTTCATTGTAAACACATTTTTGTACTCTTAAAATTTTTTGTTAAGTGCATGTACTATATTTTTTATTAAAATAGAATATCAAAGAAAGATCTTGAAAAATCACAAGAGCTAGTGACTATCTGAGAGGAAAGGTTGATACAATGACCAACATATAGATCTCAAACAGCCACTCACCTATCCACTTCTTCCTTCATGTATGTGGTGTAACTGCTGCCATCATAGGACAAGAGCAGTCCCCCGTCACTCAGCCGATGCACGTCTACTTCTACACATGAGCCGTTCATGATCACCACATATGAGTTAGGGGACTGTCGAGTCACCTAGGGAATGAGAACCAGAAAGGACAAGTCAATATCCCTTCCAGGTGGAGTCCCAGATAAAACTCAGTATCTCAAAAATATAGATTTAAAAAATCTATCAAAGAGGAAGGACATTCCTAGCACTGGTGCTCTTAGCATCAGTGTCTGTGGGAATGGCTCAGCCCTGCTCCAAGCAAACAGGGTGACCTTAGATGCTTCCCTGGTTGTTCTCTGTCTCCTTTATCTCTTCGATCCATATGTGAAGTTGAGGAACAACTAAAACATTTTCAGAAATGTTGCTTCTGGCCTTTGACACAAATAATGACTAATTTCATAACACTCAGCTTTGCAGTAAACTAAACTTTCCCCCCTATCTCTGGACCTACAGGAAATAAGCTAACAAAGAGAGACAAAAAATAAGTGTACGCTTCAGTGGGTTTCAACATACCTTAAGTACATACTTGATTCCCTCATAGATAAGTTCAACATCTACAGTGTTCAGAAGTGTATGAGCAGGAAGGACTTGACCCCTGAAAGAACAACAATGTGAGATACATTTACTTCTAGAAAGTTCTAAAAGTGTATAAGGGCATCTCGAAGGTTATTGATTATAGCATTTCCTGGAATATCAAGACTGGAAAAAAACCTAAACAACCATTAGTAAGGGACTAATATATAAATTATGAAAAAGCCATATAATAATGGGATATTATGCAGTCATTAAAAAATAAAGATGAAGCCTTTTATGTACTAATATGAAATATTTTTAACAATGAAAAAAGCAAGTGAAAAAATGAAAAGCAAGCTATAATTTGTGTTTTTAAAAAATAGGGGGTGAGGCCCCAGCTGGTTTGGCTCCATGGATGGAGTGTCAGCCTGTGGACTGAAGGGTCCCAGGTTCGATTCCAGTCAAGGGCTCATGCCCAGGTTTCGGGCTCCATCCCCATTAGGGGGCATGCAGGAGGCAGCCGATCGATGATTCTCTTTCATCATTGATGTTTCTATCTCTCTCTCCCTCTTCCTTCCTCTCTGAAATCAATAAAAATATATTCTAAAAAAATAGGGGATGGGAAGAAACAACTATTACATGCATATCTTATACTAGAGGCCTGATGCATGAAAGTCGCGCAAGGGGCTCGGCCCTCGCAGCCCCAGCTTCATCTGGAAGGTCGTCCAGAAGGATATCCGGAAGGTTGTTCGGCCGTCCAGTCTAATTAGCATATTAGGCTTTTATTATTATAGGTAATAAAAGCCATTAATATGCTCAACAGCTCGCTATGACATGCACTGACCACCAGGGGGCAGACGCTCCAACTGGTAGGTTAGCTTGCTGCTGGGGTCCAGCCAATCGGGACTGAGCGAGACGGGCCAGACACGCCCTGGAGCCCTCCCATGGTCCCTCCTCGGCTGGCCAACCTCCTGTGTCCCTCCCTGGCCCAGATCGTGTACCGGTGGGGTCCCTCAGCCTGGCCTGCGCCCTCTCGCAATCCAAGACCCCTCGGGGGATGTTGGAGAGCTGGTTTTGGCCTGATCCCGCAGACCAGGCCAAGGGACTCCACTGGTGCATGAATTCGTGCACCGGGCCTCTAGTGTTTATATAAATTTACAATATTTGGAAGGTTACAGAAGAAACTGGCAACTTGGGTTGACTACAGAGAAGGAAACTGGTGGACAGGGAACAGAGATAAGAAGAATTTTCAGCCAAACCGGTTTGGCTCAGTGGATAGAGCGTCGGCCTGCGGACTGAAAGGTCCCAGGTTCGATTCCGGTCAAGGGCATGTACCTTGGTTGCGGGCACATCCTCAGTGGGAGATGTGCAGGAGGCAGCTGGTCGATGTTTCTCTCTCATCGATATTTCTAACTCTCTATCCCTCTCCCTTCCTCTCTGTAAAAAATCAATAAAATATATTAAAAAAAAAAAAAAGAATTTTCACTATATGCCTTTAGTGCCTTTTGAATTTTGACTCATGTGAATGTATTACCTGTTCTTAAAAATAAATAAAACTTAAAAAAAGAAAAAGGCTCCAAAATGAACACCCCTAATCTACTCCTATCAACTGAGTTTTATTTGGGGTCTTAAAGAAAAAACAGTAGTGCATGGCTGGGTGGAGGGGAAAAGGAAGTACATTGTCAAGCAGGAAACATTATCAAGAAAGACTTTTGATAATAATAAAGAGAAGAAGTGGTAGAGCAAGTAAGGCAAGCTGTTAATAATTGGTGAATCTGGGCAAAGAATATAGTAGTTGTTTGGACTATTCATGCAACTCTTATAGAAGTTCAAAATTATTTCAAAATACAAGTTTTAAGAATAAATGAAAATAACATTAAAAGGTAGGGGAGCTTATAGAAGAGATTATGTAAAACACATGTGTACACTGGTAGGGAAACCACTTAACTAGGTAGAGATTGCACATTCAGAAACAGAAATTAGTAAGACTGGACTGGTAAAAAGAGGCCAAAGTATATAGGAAGTTAAAAGTCACACTGAGGGATTTAGATTTGCACATAAGGGTAATGTGAGCTGCTGAAGGTTTTAGTGCATCAGAGTAACAAAGTGAAAGATATTTATCATAAGACTTGGGTAACTGTGAAATCTGAGGGCTCAATGCTAGAGAGAACATGCAGATTTTCATCATTAGGGTATAGAGAGATTTGATGCTTGTACTGGACAGAACGTTTATTTTAACAGGGTTCTAGTTTTTTAAAAGCAATCTGTTCTAACTGCAGGATAAGCTAATTTCTAGAATCCGCCGTAGAGTCCCACAATAATTTGTCATAATCCATACATCCCTTTTCCTGTCCCCATTGTCAGTGAATAACAGGTAGCATTCACAAGCTGCCAGAAACAGGGAAAAGAATAAATGGGTCTTTGAACTTCAGTCCTGTACTTCAGGTCCACTGATTAACTCGCACAGCCAAGGAGAAACACAGCCTACCTTTCTAAGGAGTGAAGGAAGTTAGAGACGCTATTCCGCAGGCTCACATCAGCCACATGGAGAGCCCCACACACAACTCCCAACATGGTGTCAGGTCGCTCTGCCTGAAAGGAAGAAAAACAGGGCAGATAATAAAAAGCACAGTCACTTGGCACCATGGCCCCTCAACTTAAATAGGGCTCAAATTTCCTGTAAAGATACAGCCAGCATTGAGAATGGATGGAGTCCTTATTGCCAAATGATTTTTTGAGCTACAAACACATTTACTTTAGAATCTGAATAGAGGCCTCATTTGAATAGAGATGAGAAACAACTCTCCCTTCACTCTAAGATTTCTACTGAACCAATCAAAGAGCTGCTCAAAAACAAGCCTTTGTCAGAAATAAACTCAAAAAGGAACAGAGTTTTGGCTACTGATAATCTCAAAGAAAAATGATATATAACCAAAATTTGGACATTTAGATAACTTAATTGAATGTAATGATTTTAACAAAAATCTTGGGTAATTTAGAAGAGCCCTGAAATTCAGGAATAAGAAGTAACTGTTGCTTCACATGAGGCCCCTCTCATCAGCATCTGTTAAACAGATTTAAGAGTTGGTAACTCTAAGCCAGACTTAACATCAAATGAGGAAAGAGAAAGGATCTCAATCCCTATGTGCCTCTCTTCAAATATACCCCAGAAAGTAATATTAGAACATGTAAAATGACGGTGTAACACGGCACAAGAACTCTTACAGTGTTAATTACACTGACTCCTAGGTTTTTTCCAAGAACCATTTACATTAGAATCAGATAAATTTTATCTAGTGATATAGACTGATCACACCACAAGTCTATAAAACCCAATCCTAGAAGCTGTTTGTGCAAATGGAGAAATACACACCTGTACTTTTTCTGCTATCAGTCTGTCCAGCCAGCCAGTGTCAATTCTATTCAACTGAAAGCTTTCCGTCTCCAACAATTTGATCAGGTATTCAACTGTAGTTCGAAAGTCACCCCGAATAGATAGCTCCTTCAAAGCCACCACCATGTTTCTGAGAGAACAAAAGCAGATCTGTTTCAGCAACAAATGTTTCAGTGTTGAAATTTCCATCATTTTAAAGAATTGTTTCATTCCTTTGGAGTCTTAGAAGGGAGGGGAGAGGGACAGACAGCTCTAAGAACAAATGAGGGTGTAAATATAAGGGTGCTCATTCACATGCATTCCAGATGGGATGATTTTCAAGAAGTCAGTAAACTTATGAGTTCTGACTGATATTATCATAAGTGCATCCGCAAATCACATGCATTTCATTATATGGAGGACAAAACAAATTATGTGCAAACCATCCTCAGCTTTCACTTCCTAGGTTCCATTCATTTATTGATTGCTAACTAGAATCAGAGCATAATTTTTCTCTCCCTAACACCTTATTTTATTGAGGTATAATTTACATATTATAAAATATAGTTATTTTTAAGTATACTGTTCAATGAATTTTGACACATTCTCATACCTTAAAGATTTCCATACAATAAGCAACTGGCCAGATATAGTCAGGTATCAGCCTAACACTTCATGTGACAGTGGTGTGTTTTTTAAAGCTGCCTTTTAGATGTTTGTGAAATGACCACTCATTACTTTTATTACTTCCCAATCAAGTGTCAAATGATCTAATCTTAACAGGATTTCAAATACTCTGGGTTTTTTTTCATGTATATTTTTGCCCAGTGTCTGCACTGCACAGAACAGGTCTTTACTTCAACAAATACTTATTATGCACCTCACAGACCCAAGGCACATACTAGGCTATTAAGGGAAAGAGAATATAGATACAGTAATTACTTTCAAAATATATGGCAGAATATCATCAGAGAGAGATATAAGCAAAGTGCTAGAGGAGTTCTAAGGAGGGACAATACCCACCTTCCTATGATTTCAAGAAGAATGTGGAATCTGACGTGGAATGAAAGTATACCTGGGAATATGACTGTGATAGGAATATTATTCCGGTGGTCCAGGCAATCCCTCAGCCTAGAACATTAGTTAGTTTCCCATCTCTGCCTTCCTCTCTATGTCCTCTTTTGGCCTAGCTTATTCCTATATATTTTTCATATATTAGTCTAGATGCCATTTCCTTCTGAGAAACCTTCCCTGACCCTCTCTAGACTGAGTTAAGCTGACTTAGCTGTATGTTCCTGTAACACCATTATGTAATCCCAATATCATAAGATAACAACTTATTACATTGTGTTTAACTGTTTATTTGCCTCTCACCCTCTGGATTCCCAAGCTCCATGAAGGCAGAGACCCTATTTTGGTCCTTGTTGTATTGCCATATATTCAGCAAATATTTTTTTGAATGGAGTGAATGAATAAATAGACAGAATATCAAGAACAAAGGGAAAGAAGGAAGAAAATATGGGTTGTGTTCATTATGATTGAAGCAAAGGGTATGAGGACAGGAACTAGTGGCAAATCCATCCATTTAATAAACATTTACTGAACACTTACTATGTTCAGAGGATACAGCAGCAACAAACAGACATGGTCCTGTTCTCATGGTATTTAGATTACGATGTATGGGAAATAATGCTGGAAATATAGGTTGGGGCTATTCTAGAGAACAAGAATATTATGAATGTTATGAGTAAGAAAAGATATAAATAAGAAAGAAACAAACTCTGAGCTGAGGGATGAACTTCTGGCATGAAGTCAAGAAGCAAGCTTATTGTAAAGACCATATTTTTAGTATGCTAAAAGTTAACCTAGTTAACTTACACCTCGTTAGAGAAATACTAGAGGCATGATGCACGAAATTCGTGCATGGGTAGGGTCCCTAGGCTTGGCCGGCAATCAGGGCTGATCTGTGGGGCGACCAGCGGGGCAATCAGAGGCCCCAGCCTGGGGCCTGCAGGCTGGGGGCAACTCCTGCATTGAGCATCTGCCCCCTGGTGGTCATCATGCATCATGGCAACCGGTTGTTCCACCAGATATTCTACGGGTTGTTCCGCCATTCGGTCGATTTGCATATTAGGCTTTTATTATATAGGATACAGAGCAAGTCAGGAAGTAAAGAGCAAGGCTTCTGGACCAAGTGATAGGACATGTCCTACAGAAAATACTTAGCAGTCTGCCTAAACAGGACTATAAACCTAAATACCAACAGAGGGATGTCTCATTTATTCTGAGAATGTAAATGAGAAGGCAGACTGTGTGCACTAGAGAATTCATGTTTCCTCTAAAAGAAGCAGCCACACAGAGGTTTAGTTAACTTTTGCCAAGTGGAACATAAAACCTATGTTGTCGTTACCATCCCATTTTTAAAGAGAAGGCAGAAATCCATATATTTAATCTATCAATTTTTAAATACTGGCATTTTTTAATACATTAGCACCCTGTAAGCCAATCAAACACATGTGTGGCTGTGACTATTTGGAAGGCTGCCATGTGTTTGACTGAACTACAATTTGCAAACTCTAGCATAAACCTTCTTCACTTTGGTAAAGCAAGAGATGACTGTAATAAAAAGGGGGAGGGGGGGTGGCAACTTTATACCAAATATTTTTTCTGGTAGCATTGCTTTAATTTGGAAAAACTCTACTTAAAGTTTTACTTTCCCCCCAACCGTTCAGGAAGCCATTTTATTTATTTTATTTTATTTTATTTTATTTTATTTTATTTTATTTTATTTTATTTTATTTTATTTTTACTGTTAATCCTCACCAGAGGATATTGGATTTTAGAGAGTGGAAGGGAAAGAGGGAGGAAGAGAGGAAGAGGAAGAGGAAGAGGAAGAGGAAGAGGAAGAGAGAGAGAGAGAGAGAGAGAGAGAGAGAGAGAGAATCATCGATGTGAGAGAGACACATCAATTTGATGCCTCCCACATGTGCCCGACTGGGGCCAGGGATCAAAGCGTAACCCAGGTATATGACCTTGACCAGGAATTGAACCCATGACTCTTAGGTGCATGGGTCAATGACACACTATCCACTGGGCCACACCAACCAGGGCTGCAAGTCTTTATTGTTGACACTATTACAGATGTCGCTCATTTTCTCCCCCTTTGACCCTTCCACCCAAGCCCTCGCTCCCTCTCTACTTATAGTTTTGAATAAATGGGGAGAATCATAGAAGACAAAATAGAGAAAAATTGAGACTTCCCTACTTCCAAAAACACTATTAAAAACCAACATTATTAATACTTATTGACTACTAGTCTATGTATACAGTCCAAAGATCAAAGGAATGGTATTAAATGCTTGATATAAGGAAATAGACAAAAAATAAAATTAGTTCAATTTTAGATAAATATTCTAAAATATCTAAACTGTCAAAATTACCTCCTAGAGCCCTATTTTTAGGCAAGCAATATTGCTACTAATTTAATATTTAATGTTTATGTCTAATATAATATTAACCAATAACCCTTACAATATACCAGTTACCTTTGGATAAGCTGTGTGTACTAGTATATTTCATAGCAGAATGAGGTCTCTTCTATAAGCAATGGGGACAGTTGCCTTATGTCCTTTGCATGTAACAAGCAGTTTATTATTTTAAATGACTATGGGACATTTACAGCTACAGCTTTAGTTTGATGACTAATAACAGGTCTTTCTATGATTTATAGAACGTCAAATTCTTATTCAAGAATCTACCTCCCTACAGCAACATGGGAAAATGATATGTTTAAAGCAATCAACTTTATAAGTTTATCAAAAATATTTGAGCCCAGGTGGTGTGGCTCAGTGGTTGACCAAGAGGTCATGGGTTTGATTCCCAGTCAGGGTACATGCCAGGGTTGCGGGCTCAATCCCCAGTATGGAGCGTGTAAGAGGCAGCTGATTGATGATGTTTCTCTCTCATGGATGTTTCTATCTCTCCCTCTCCCTTCCTCTTTCTCTAAATTGAATAAAAACAAATAATAAAATAAAATAATAAAATAAAATAAATAAATAAATAAAATAAAAATAATAAAAATAAAAATAAATAAAAATATATATATATATATATATATACTTGAAAGCAAATAAAAAGGCTTGAACAACAAACTGAAAAACATCTGTCAAACACTGCATATTTTAACACACATGAATACAAGTATAATTGAAAATATTCTTTAAAAGGTTGTCCATATTAATACTTTTATAGCAGTTAAATGGTTCCCTGCCTATACTCACACCTTCACTGAAGATTAGCACAGATTTATTTTTTTTAAATGCAATCAAATGCTATTGTACTCACGAAATTGCTTCCTCTCTGTTTTCTCCCCAGGAAAAGCAGTGACCAAACTGAGAATCAGCAAATTCATGAAGTCCCCCTGCAGCAGCAACACTGAAATAACCCCATACATTCTTATTGCTGCGGAAATTCAGTTCCTGAACTGTTCCTGAGCTGGGCTTAAAACCCTGTTAGAGAATGAAGAATGTGAGAGACCATGTTATATTTCCAAGGAAGAGGACATTTATATATTTACTGTTTAGGCTCCGTGGTAATTGCACATAAAAGCAGAAATGATGCACAAAAATCATAAAGGCTTGAGAGCCAACGTCCAATGCTACTGAGGACTCTATAGTGACTATAGTAGGATGAAATGACCAGGGGAGCAGTGATCACTTCTTTGTCTGCTCTGATTAAACCTCTAAAATTCCCCCCTCCAGAGGAAGTCCCAAATATTTCAGAAGCATAGCCCTCAGGTATCATCTTCAATATTCAAGTTCACAGGGGGAAAAGTGTAAATCTTTTAAGTGATAGGTTACCTCATCTGGATTTTCACTAGTGATCCGAGCAGCAATAACGTGACCTCTTGGGCAAGGAACATGAGCAGAATTTTCAAAATCAATGGGAGCATCACCCCAGGGAGATACCCCATACATCATACGAATATCCTTGATTCTGTACAGAGGGATCCCCATGGCGATCTGAAAGGTAATAAAACACATATCACTCATTTTTCACAGTTACTTTCCTTAAAATGTGGAGGCTATAGATTACTTGTAAGATTTTTCATTTTAGTAACCACCACCTAAAACATTCTATTTTTATAACCTGTATTCTAAAATCAACAAAGAAGAAACTCTAAGTTACTTAAAACAAAATATGTCACTACAGACGTTGCTAAATACTCTCCACTTCTACTAAAAAAAGTCCCCAAGTTCCTAACGCAATAGACATGAGTTTCTATTATTTCTCCATCAATGGATTAGAATAAAAATATCCAAAGGAAGTGTCAATATCAGTGGCTATCCAAGTTTAGACAGCTAAAAAGTCCATCTCATAATTATCCCCATAAACCATTGTAATAAATAAATAAATAAATAAATCGATCAATCAATCAATCTTTAGTCCTTAATGGGAACTCAGAAGGGGTTTCCAATATGGGCAAAGAATATGTTAGATACAAATACTATCAAACTTCATCATTAGCTATTACTGCTTCCCATAACATTTGTTTTCTGGGCTGAATGGATAAAATAATACTGACAGCTAGCACTTTAAACATTATAAAAACAAATGGGTGCTGCCACACTGTTGCCCAGAAAACCCCCGACCACCACTCTGATGTGGAACTGCTTCAATACAGAACACTAGTAAAAGGAGTAGAGGCCAATTACAAAGTTGTAAAGTTTTCTATAATTAAAACAAGTAAAGCATTTTTTTTTAAGTTTCTTTCTAAAATGACAGTTTTTACCAGATGTGTCTGGCTAGAAAATATAAGGTGCTCTACCTCCAGGGAGCACACTCGTGCCATTACCTTTCCCCCACCTCCCCCCACCGGCACGTATCTAAAAAAATAAAGTACAATCATATTCCTAGATTTGTACCACATGAGGAAAACCAACCCACACATCACAATCCATATAGCATGAACATTAGATGAGACTCGATTAGGAGGCACTCTTCTCTTATCAGACACAGGCTAAACCAGTTTTTCAGGCATCTGACATTTTTTAGGCAACTCTTGGAGCCACGATCAGGGTGACTCACCTGGAGCTGTGCTGCAGGGAGATTGACATCAGCCACCATCTCTGTACAAGGGTGCTCCACCTGTAGCCGAGGGTTTAGTTCCAGAAAGTAGAAGCTGCCATCCTGGCTGTAGAGGTATTCCACAGTCCCCGCACTCACATAGCCAACCATTTTGGCAAGTTTCACCGCACACTCAAAGAAGAAAGATGGGAAGACATGAGTACCTCATCTTGTCCAGCTGGTGGACTACTGCTTATCTATATAGCCTCTCCCTGACTCAAATATCTAGTGTTTATAAGAGCCATCAAAGGCTTTTAGACACATTAGAGCAGCGGTCATCAACCTTTCGGACCTCACGGACCACCGGTTGGCGACCGCTGCATTAGAGTGAATTTCAACCTCTGGTTATTACAGAAAATCCTGGACATGGATGACAAACTCAATTCAAAGTTGAAGGAAAACAGTGTTTTTCATCATTTGGGATCACAGGCAACCTCACCCTATAGATACATGCAGGAAAAACAACAGTGTGGCAGATTTTTCACCATGCCCTGGTTTCTAGTATTCCTAACATTCTTCCTAAAACATGGTTGCCCAGCTATAGACTAGGTTTCTCAACCTCTCTTACACTTAGTGACTAAGTTTTGACCAAAGTAATGTCAGCCTTGGTGAGTGATATACCTAATTCCTGAATCATGTTTTTAAAAGGAAGTGCTTGTTCTCTATTCTGGCTGTTCCACTTCCATGGACTGAAACATTGTCATGACAGTACATGAGCTCACCGCAACTTATGATGGAAAGAAAAAAATAAACTTCTAGCTTATCTGGGTTGCATATTTTGGATCTCTTTATTACAACAGCTTAACCTGCACCCTAATTACTACAGAAATGATTACATACAGGTAGAATCCTGCTATTTAAAAATATTAAAATGTGTTGTTGGCTTAGCAACAACACATAGGGTAATGGGTAGCTAGAGCACAGATATTTCAGACTGAAAGCTGGTGGCCTCCTGGTTAGGCATAACAAAACATTTGGTAAGTGGTGTCCTACAATAACTTCCAAGGTGGACAACACCCCAACTAAGCCCTAAGAAAAATAGAAAGTCAGAATGTGAAAAATTCAACTACTTTTGTATCCCCAAACCAGAAAATTAGATTTTCACCCTAAAGCGCCAGTGTCAAAGTTCAAATAAAAGAGAAAAAGTTACTGTATCTAAAAATTTTGGGTGTGGTTACTCCTACCTGAAGCTGGCTGGAAGAGAATAGTCCAGAAACATACTAAGTTTTAAAGGGATTGTAATTCTAAACAAACCACAAACCTGGCCTTCAAGAACCTGTGACTGATAATTGGAATAAACTTTGTGGCCCCAATCCTGCCCCAGCAGGAAGTGAGCCATGAAAGCTCTGCCAAAGGAAGTACAGTCTCCAAAGCCCAGTCACAGAGAAAACAACACAAGGAATAACTTTCCAGAGAACAAAGCCGGGTGCCTTAAGGGAGGACAGCCAAGGGATTTGCTTTGAGATCAGAGCCAGGGGCATCCAGAGAGCTAATGAGGTATTATTACTCCACTACATGGCAGGAATTCATCAAAATTCCTGCCTAGAAGGAACTGATAACTGCTATGGATCAATGATTACTATATATTTTCACTCCTCTTTTTTCCAAATGGGAGTTTATCCTGTTTCTATTCCACCATTGTATATTGGGTACATGGCGAAAAGCCACTTGTACATTTAATGGAGAGTTTCGGAGAGCTTGGACTTTGAGCTGTCTTCTTTGGGGAAAAGGCTAAGTATGTTCTAAAAATGAGAAAAAGGGTATGAAAGGATAATGGGTAGCCAGAGGATCAGACTGAGGCACAGATTATTAACTGCCCTCCAGTAATTTTCTCCCTCATCCATTTAAGTAATAAAATCTCCTAAATTGCAACTAGGAATATGGCCACCCAGTGGATGACTACAATTCCTAACATCCCTTATAGCTATGTGTGATTGTATAACTGAATTTTGTACAATGGAATGTGAGCAGAAGTAATTGGTGGGACTTCTAGATCATATTTTTATATGCTTGCCCTCCGTTGTCTTCTTCCCTCCTCCCCAGGCTACAATGTTGGACATACTCTTGTGAGCTAGCTTAATCATGAAGATGATGACACCCTAGGGCAAGGGTGGGCAAACTTTTTTGGGAAAAAGTCAGATAACAATTATTTTCAGCTTTGTGGGCCATATAGTCTCTGTCACAACTACTCAACTCTGTCACTGCAGTGATAAAGCAACCTAGATAATACATAAATTAGTATGGCTGTATTCCAATAAAATTTTCCTTGCAAAAGCAGGTGGCAGGTTGGATTTGTCTTGCGAACTGTAGTTTGCTGATCCCTCTCCTAGTGAATGGCAGAGCAATAAACCTAGGTCTCTGGCACCAGCTCATCTAGAACTAAGCCACAGTATTTTGAGATCCTCTTACACCAGTTAAATAATGTGTCTTAACATGTGCATGCATACATACACACACACACACACACACAAAAACACACACATCAGGATAAACTTTCATATATTTAGCTTGTTTGGAATTCAGGAGAAAAAAGATAAAAATATATCTCCAATAAGATGAAGATTGAGTTCCAGTTCCAGAAATTAGACGCCTAAACTATAACTATTCCCAAGGGACCCTGCAAGACTGCTGAGAGATTCTTTTCTATACAAAAATATAGAATATATAAACTTTAAAGATACTTAGAGGACCTTTAAAGAAAAAATGAATTTGAATAAACTTGTCTCAGGACTCAACAATAATCAGTTTTAAAAAGGGACTGCTTATCATGAGGCTTGTTAAAAAAATCAAATGATAAGATTAAAAATCCCAAAACATTTCTCTTCTTTATTCCTACTCAAAATAGTACACTGATTTTTTTTTTCCAAAAGGGTTAACTAATTTAGAGCTTGAAATGTTCATTGGCAGCTTTCCTAGAGGAAGACAGAAGAATTATTTTTATTGGAAAAAAATATTATCTTATCAATTATCCAGAATCCATGCAAGAAATTCTACTATTCTCAGATTGATATACGAATTGAATGAGTATAGTTCTGTGTGAGAAAACACAAATTAGACTTTTTCTCATTAATACCTGTTCCATATGTTCGAATACTGCTGGAGTAGCAATAGCAGCAGGTGCCTCTTCAATAATCTTCTGATGCCTACGCTGTACAGAGCAATCACGACCAAACAAAGAGATAGCATTGCCATACTGATCTGCTAATATCTGCACCTCCAGATGACGAGATTGTTTGGCTAGTCTCATCACAAATATAGGAGATCCGGGGACTTCTGCTTGAACCTGTATTAGAAAAGAAAAGAAAACAATTTTTTAGTGGTGATCATTTTTTTTCTATCCTGATAAATTGCTTCAGTTTCAAAGGCAGATGCCTAGAAGTGTCAGGGACCACATTAATCAGTAGGGAAACAAAAATGAATAAACTAAAGTTTGTGTCCTCATCTTTTCAAGAGCCTGCATTCTTTGTTATATGATCAACTAGAGGCCTGGTGCACAAATTCGTGCATGGGTGGGGTCCGGAGGCCCAGCAGGGGGTGGAGAGGAGGGATGAGGGAGGTTGGCCAGCGGTACCGCCCCCTATTGGGGTGGGAGGGCCCAATTGGGGGCAGGGCCGCCCGGGGAAGGGGCCACAGGCCAGCCCCACCCCCTGGTCAAACTCCCAGTGGGTCAAAATCCCGCCCGAGGGGACAATTTACATATTAGCCTTTTATTATATAGCAGGGGTGGGCAACCTTTTTGTGAGTGCGTGCCAAAACCAGCAAAATCTCTGACTCGAAATTCTTCTGCATGCCAACCCTAATTTTTTGAGAACATGTTACACCTACTTGATATCTCTTAAGGTGTATGTATGTGAAGAACCTTGAAGAAATAATAAAATTCATTCAAGGGACAAAAACACAGTATATGATGATGAAAAATACATTTATTTTTTTATACATGTACACTGATAGTCCGACAGAGAACTTTATGACTCCGTTTGATATTATCAGTGGGACTTTTGCTGCTGCATCACTGATGACAGAGATTTTACATCAGGTTTATATTTCATGACCTTCGGAGATATGCACGAGCTACTACTTTCATCCGTCAGGCTACTCCTATTACAAGACTTAACAAAATTCATCACTGAGAACAAAGATTCACAAGCATATGTGGATGAAAACATGGAGAGTAATGCTGTTGCAAAGTTTTTTAAACAGAGAAAATTTTCTGGAATGGCATTCCAAGTCCTCAATAGTTCGTTTTCGACACCATTGAAATTGCTCTTCCCCTCTCTCGTCAATCCATGTCTATGGTCTTTAAGATAATTTGTTATTTAAAATTATTTATTTATCTAAAATGCACCTACACTGAATTTATCTGAAAAATAAAAAAGTCGATATTAAGAAAAAAATTGTAAATGGAAGATTATAAGAGAGGGTTTCGCGTGCCAGCAAAAGTTACTGGCGTGCCATGTTTGGCACGCGTGCCAGGGGTTGCCCACCCCTGTTATATAGGATATTAATTGATAAATATGAAAATATATGAGCACCCAGTGTATTACAAGGGTAAAGAACAAAATATTTTGAAAACACACACAAAAATTCCACAAAAGGGCAAAGTACTACGATTAATTCCAAACAGCTAAACGTACAACTTGCTCCAGAGTAGATGCTCTCTGGTTCACATTATAGAATATACAGTATTGTTGTAGTCAAAGACCTGTCATCTGCAATTTTGAAGCATACTGTCACTGGATACAGAATTCTATACTGGCAATTATTTTCTTTCAATATTTTAAAGACATCCCAATATTTTCTGGCTTCTACTATTTCTACTGAGATGTCTGGTATCAATCTTATTGTTACTCCTTTGAAACTAATCTTTTTTTTCCAGCTGCTTGAAGATTTTTTTTTCATTCTCTCTTTTTAATGGAATGAAGTGGCAGATTTGCTCAGATAAGCTTAAATGTAATTTTCTCTGTATTTGTTCTACAGGTCTCATAGTGTTTACTGAATCTGTGCTTAGTATCTTGTAATACTATCAACAATAAAAAATAAAAATAAGATATATATTTTTAATTAACATGCTTTTTCTTTTACTTCTAAGAGCAAAAGGCCTTTTCTTTAGACTCCATAAGGCACTGAAATACCTATGAAATTGGAATTATTATAGGAGGCATGTAAAGAAAAAGACAAGTAATATTCAAATTCTGACATTCAAAATAAGGTAATGTAGCAAAATACCTTTATCGCCTTCTTTATTGAGTATATTAAATCGTGGGAGTCCCAGTTCATAGATTTTTTCTCTTTAGCCCATGATAAGAAAGCAATAAATTTGTTACTGAATGACTTTTTAAAAAAAAAAGAAAGAAAAAAAGAAGGAAAAATAAAAGGTGGCCAGGGAAAAATAAGAAAAAGTGGAGAGCTAGCAGAGTGGAAAGGCCAGAATGTGTCCCAATTTGCCTTTTCGTGACACCTCTTTCTGGGTATTGATAGGAGAAAAAAGAGTGAATCAATTATGTGAGGGTACCTCTGAGGACAGGGAAAAAGAGACTCCTATCTCCCAATTCTCTAAGATTCTGAAAAGAGAACATATCTTTGGCTTTCACAACCAACCTGTAGTTTTGCCACATCAAATTAGCTAATCAGATGGGTAGTCAGAAAGAGACCCTACGTTAACTTTTCTGAGCCATTCTCAGTTCTCACAGAACATGAGCCTGCCATAAGGTTCCTGTGCCCTGGTACAATGGCCATGCAGCACAGGCTAGGATATAGACTGCTGGGCCAGCAGGGTAGAAACTCAGGAACCCACAGTCACTTCAAATTAAAGTCAATCAGAGAGTCTGGGCCTGACCAAGCCCAGAGCATCCCGATCAGGAGTTAACCACACTATATACATTGTAACACCAGAAGAAGAGGAACACAAACATACAGAAAGGCATGGACTCTTCCTTTTCACAGAAAGTTCTATGAGCCACCATACAGGGAAAAGCTATCTGAAAAACTGATGCCTTTTATATAAGAGAGAATAACTCTATTTTGGGGACTTACAAATTCTAGCATGAGTTAAATCACATATCACTGATATTGATATACACACACACACACACACACACACACACACACACACACACTAGAGGCCCAGTGCACAAAAATGTGTGCACTAGGGGTGGGGGGGGGGGGTCCCCTCAGTCCGACCTGCGCCCATTTGCAGTCCAGGACCCCTTGGGGGGATGTCCACCTGTCGACTTAGGCCCACTCCCCGGGGGATCGGGCCTAAGCTTGCAGTCAGACATCCTTCTGGCAGCCAGGGGAGCCCTCGGGGGATGTCCAACTAAAGGCTTAGGCCCCCAAGGGAGCTGTGATGAGAAAGCTGGGGTGACAGAGGAGCCACGCTGTCCCGCCCCGCCGCCCTGGGTCGGGTCGCACACGGGACGCCCAGGCGAATCGGCTGATGGCTGCCGGCCCGCCTGGCCGACCCGGGTCGGGTCGCACATGGGATGCCTGGGCGGGCTGGCGGATTGCTGCCTCCCCGCCCGGCCACCTGGGTCGGGTCGCACACGGACGCCCGGGTGGGCCGGCCGATCGCTGCCGCCCCGCCCGGCCACCCCGGGTCGCAGATAGCAGGCCCAGATGGCGGCAGGGCAGGCGGGATGGCGCTGTCCCACCCCACCGCCCCGGGTGGCAAATAGCAGGCCCAGATGGCAGCGGGGCAGGCGGGTTGGCGCTGACCCGCCCTGCCTGCAGTATGCAAGTTAGCCGCCGTCTTTGTTGGTGGTTAATTTGCATATCATGCTGATTAGCCCATGGGGGGCGTAGCAAAGGTACGGTCAATTACCATGTTTGTCTATTATTAGATAGGATGTTAATTCAAACAAAAACAACTTGTACTCTACCTGTCTGAAGAGGTTAGGGAAGTCATCTGCATTATTGACTTTTCTGATCCCCTTTCCTCCTCCTCCTTCTGAGGCCTTGATCATTACTGGATACCCAACTTCCTCTGCTGCCTTTCAGAAGAGAAAAATGGAATAAGAATGATATTAGTAGGGAAAAAGAAATTGGCATATTCTCCCTTTAAGAATGCTATTATTTAATAGCCTATATGTAGTAAAATAGAAAGATCTTGAAGATATACTATTAAGTAAAAGAAGTAATAGGACAATATTTGTAACTCTCTTGGTTGAACCAAGAGAAATTGCCTTTATGTTTAAGTATGATTGCATATGCATTCATATACCCACATATTTTTTAATCCTCACCTGAGGATTTTATTAAATTTTAGAGAAAGAGGAAGGGAGAGAGAGAAACATCGATGTGAGAAACTTTCAATCAGCTAAGGCAGTGATTCCCAAAGTGGGCACTACCGCCCCCTGGTGGGCGCTGCAGCGATCCAGGGGGGCGGTGATGGCCACAGGTGCATTTGTTTTAACTTTTTTTGTATTACCTTTCTATTCTGAGTTCAATAAATAGTTTCATAATTTCAAACTTCAATGTTTCTAATTTACACCTTTCTTTACTATATTTTACGAAAAAGGTAGAAACATTAATACATATATCTTTCTGTTTAATTGCTATTAAAATTTTTAAAAAATTAATTTCCAGGGGGCGCTGAGTAATATTTTTTCTGGAAAGGGGGCGGTAGGCCAAATAATTTTGGGAACCACTGAGCTAAGGCAAAAAGTAAAGTGGGGGAAAAGTTACCCAAAGGTTCAAAATAAACAAGTCATTCCTTTATCAAGACATTCCAATCTTTTAGGTTTAGTATAGCAATATCTAAACAGTGTGTCACCAGAAAAAAACACCATTTCAAATTTTAATTTGTGTCCCTAGATTAAGCATGAAAATCTTTCAATCACAGTCTCATCTTTTCTAAAATCCACTTAACTTTATTCACTTCTATTCTTATAAACAGTTAGTTTGATGAACTCAATCACTGAGTTACAAGGTTATAAGTGATCAAAGAGACAACCACAAATACAGAAAAGAGATAAAAGTAGGATAGCCCACATAATGTCAGTACGTAAGAAGGTACCTTTAAAAATATATGCTCTAGTCACAGGTCATACATTTTAAATATGTTAGAAGAATCTTAATGCCATGAGGAAAACACTTATATACAATATTAAGAAAAAAAAAGCACTATTAAAATATATACAGCAAGACTTAATTTTATAATTATCAATCATTATGAAAATTTATTAATGAATATTATCATTATAAATCTATGAATAAAAAATGGCTTGAAGAAAATAGCGGTGGTTTTATCATCTTTTATCTGGCTTTTCAAATTTTCTACCAGATAATTTTGTATTTATAATTATCACCAAAAAAAAAAAAAGAATTTTAATTGATAAGCACACTAGCCAAGCTTCCACTCTTTTTGCAAATTACAGCAAACAGAATATAGCATTTGCAATTCAATTATAAATATTAATTCTTATTAAGGATATTACAGGATGCTTAATTTAAAATGTAAACAATATAGTAAAATTAGCTGAGCATTCAGTATTCCTCTTGAATTTATAACATATAAGTCAAACATAGTAGTATGTTTTTCTAAAATACCCTCTTTCTTCATTACCTAGAGACATACCTGACATTTCCAACTAGTTAAAAAGTGAAAGGGGAACAAACTGGAGAAAACTATAGAGGAAAGAAAGATTATGTTGAAGAAAGAATCTCCTTTTGCTTGAATTCATGTTTCTACATGGATGGACAATAATCATAGAGTGACACTTTTAAGCCTCTCTTGGTTCACTCCCTCACACCTCCCCAAGAGAAAAAGAGTAAATTTACCTGATTGGTCAGTTTGGAGAGAGGAACTGAGCATGCATAGCTCAGCCTCTTTCCCCTTTGGGATCAGTCCACTGCTCAGAACATATGTTCTTTGTCAGCTCTGAGTCATACAAGCTGAATGGTAAAAGCTATGTTGTTGTAGATGGAAGTCTGTGGTACCACCAGTAACTAGTGAGTGAGCCTGTTTAACTGACATTCAAGTTACAAATCTGATTGTTGCTATATACTTAAGCCACTTTCACCAACATCTCTCTATTCTTAATATAATAAAGAGCTAATATGCTAATTAGACCAGAAGGCAGAATGACCTTCCAGAATGACCTTCTGGAACAACCAGTGGGCAGGGCTGCGGGGCCATGGGGCCGCAGGTCCACGAGGCAGGGGCTGCAAGGGCTGAGCCTCTTGCACAAATTTTGTGCATCGGGCCTCTAGTTCTTAATAAAGCTGACATGTTGATCTCTATCTGCCTGGCTTCTTGGTTCTGAACTCAAGCAGGGACAAAAGTGTATTATTTGTTGCCCCTCCTCTCCCACACACACACTAACTGATCTGACCACCTAAGAAGTGTTCCAAGTGAGAGAATTGCTTCAAAACTAATTTAAGTTGTTTTTTGTTATATGTAGGTCTCTTCTTCACTCTATAAACTATACCTCCTGATCTTACAAACCTAATGCCATCATGAGTCTATATCATGAACCAGGCTCCAGATCACGATATTTCTGATATAATTGGTCAGTTGAAATACATCACTTCCTAGAGTTAAAAACCTACCTTTAGCCCATCATCCACATCCTTCACATAGCCTTTTTCATAGAGTTCTTGGGGAACATTTAAGATACGTTTTGAAAAATCATTTTCTTGCCAGTCCACATGAAGACCTGCAATAACAACAGTGACTTAATGTAGCTATAAGAGCTTCTGTTCTTGTTAATTTTCTGTTATACCTTCTTTAAAATGATCTCACATTGGGGGTAGATGGGAGATAGAAGGATGCCAAAAAACCCTGATCAGTCCTTGAGTTAACGGTATTTACCTATAGTAGGACCTGGCAACTTGGATTTCCAGTGTAAGCAGGATCTTACACTGGAAAAATCCAGGAGAGCTAACAGGAAGCAACGTATAAAAATACAAGGACATACAAGGAAAAAGAAAGAAAAAAAAGCATGTCAGGCTTCTCACAGCAATGCAGCAGGCAAAATACCTTCGATTTGTGTGTTCAGGCCTGCTCCAGGGCCAGAGGTCTGGGAAATAATTCAATCTTTATGAGCCCTTAGAAATGGAAATGGCAGTTTTATTGGCCTCAGCAGAGTCATGATTCCATGCTCCCTGAATGTCCCTGTACTTAGCCACAAGGGGAATGCTATAGCTTCTCCATTCAAACAAGAACAAATTCAACTTTTTATTTTAAACTGTTTGACCCAGCAGGTCTGGAGAGGATATTGCAATCCCCTGGAAAGCTAGAGTAACAAGAGTTCAAATCTGTTCAGCCTCAAGACAATGGTCTCTCCCATTTGGAAGAGATTTTAGTGTATATCTGCCCCCTGTGCTTGAGTACTAAAAAAAGGGAAGTTCATATTATTATCAGCTATTATAATTCACACTAGAGGCCCAGAGCATGAAAATTCATGCACTGGAGGCGGGGGTCACTCAGCCCGACCTGCCCCCTCTCACAGTCCGGGAGCCCTCAGGGGCGGGAGGCAACCCGGCCATCAGGGGAAGGTGACGCCCCCATCACACCTCTGCTGCTGACACCGCCAGCAGCGCAAGCCTCAACCAGCCCTGGTTACCTGAGCCTCAGGCAGCCCTGGGCAGCTGGGCAGCCAACATCCAAGGCTTGCCTGCGCCTCGGGCTGGTCCTGGGCGGCTGAGGGCGGGTCTGGCCGCACTGTGTGCCTGCCGCCCCCTCCCCCACACCCCCCACCTCCAGGCTGGGCTGAAAGGACTTTGGGATTCTGGCAGCAGGAGCAAGGAGCAGCCAGCCGCACTGCGGGCCTGCCACCCCCGGCGGGGCTGAAAGAACTGGGGGACTCTGGCGGGGCTGAGGGGACTGGGCGCCGCCATCTTGTGGCTATGGGCGCCGCCATCTTTGGGATGGTGTGATGATCAATTTGCATATTCCATCTTTATTAGATAGGATGGCACTCTTTGAGGAATTTGTCAAGAATAAATCCTTTTTAGCCCCAGCTGGTTTGGCTCAGTGGATAGAGCATCAGCCTATGGACTGAAGGGTCCCAGGTTCAATTGTGGTCAAGGGCACATGCCAGGGTTGCGGGCTCAATCCCCAATAGCGGGTGTGCAGGAGGCAGCCAATCAATGATTCTCTCTCATCATTGATGTTTCTATCTCTCTCTCCCTCTCCCTTCCTCTCTGAAATCAATAAAAATATTTAAAAAAAAAAAAGAATAAATCATTTTCAGAAAAATTTTATCCTTCTACATGCCTGGAAGAAAAGTTGACTATTGACCTCATTTTCTATATCAAAGGCAACTGAGGGGTTAAATGATATTAAACAGGAAAAGCAAATCATCAATACATTGTGGGCTGACATAAAAAACAAAACAAAAAAAAAACCTACTGGCAGGCAAATATTTGAGAGGTGGGTTTGAGTGTTCTTAGTGATCCAGGTCACTTCCCAGGCCAGTTCAAAGGCCTAATTCTGCCTACAAAGTCCATCTCTGAGAAATATTCTAGCCTACCCAGAGATTATCTGAATCCACAGAACCATGAGTTTTCCCAGAGTTTCTCCAAATTAAATCCCAAGATTGCTCAAATACTAGTTTAGCATCTAGTATACCTGGTACAAAATTTATATTCCTAAGACATGATAAAATCACAGGTGTATTAATTAAGCGTGGAGATACAAGATACCATTATCAACCTGGATTCTATTTATCAAGTATCCCAACATTTCAAATAAACTTAAGCCCCAAGCCACAGTCCCAAATACCCTACTGAATGAGCTTTTTTGCACTTCAAGACACAAACAAGAAAGTTTCTTACCACTGCCACTCCAGGGAAGAGTTGGGATACCTGCAGTTTGTGCCACTATGGAAGATGCAATCTTATCCCCCAAAGCCCACATGGCCTGGCTTGGAGGACCTAAAAAATAAAACAAGAAAAGAGCTTGACTATAACATTTTGGCCTCATTTCTATCACATATATGTCTTCTATATAATTATTTTTGTATTTTTCTTGTCTCCCCTACATATCATGGAGATCATAAACTTGATTAATGGGATTACTATGTTTTAACTCATCTTTGTACACTTTATAGATCTTGATGTAGTAAGCTTTTAATACACAATGAGAGCTCTATATACTAAATTCCTGACCAATCTAACTCTCATTTTTTTATCCTTTATGATTCAACTTTATCAGCTTAATAAAGTCTTTTCTTTTTAACCAATATCCTACATTAAGTTTTGGTGTTCAAGTCTGAAATATATATATTATCCCTTCCTTGGTCTTAGGATAACCAAAAAAGGAAAATTTAACTTTAATAGGGTTTACAAAGCATAGTCATCATTGTGGAATGTCTCTGAGACAGAGAAAGAAATACTTTGAGCCATATAACCTCTATTTCTCTCTCTGGCATAGGAGAGCAGAAAAGACAGAAAACAGAGCTCTCAGGAATATATATATAAAACCCTACTATGCAAATAGACCAAATGGCAGAATAACCAAACAACCGGTTGCTATGAGGTGCGCTGACCACCAGGGGGCACGCGCAGAACATAGCAGGCGTCGGCTGCGGCGGGATGGTGGAGCAGATGAGCGGGGGTGCCAGACCAAGGTGGGGTGCCGGTCGCTGTCATCGGGGCAAGCCTCTGGTGGTTACTGAAAATTCTTTGCTCCTGCACGCTACAGTCCCATCCAACGCTCGAACCCACTGCTGGTGCCGGAGCCTACCACTCACACCCACTGCCAGTGCCTGGCGCTGGCCCCGATCACTTGGCGCCCTCAGTTGGTACGAGCAGTGGCTGCCTGATCACCTCCCCCTGCTCCTGAGGGACAATTGGGGCAAGCAGCCACCTCTCCCACCTGCTGCTGGTGACAGCCCCGCTTATACCTGCAGCCGGTGCCGGAGCCGCAGCTTGCACCACCTACTGGCACCAGCCCCACTTGCACCTGCTGCTGGCGCCGGCCCCAATCACTCCATGCCTTTAGCCGATGGGAGCAGGCTGGCGCCATCAGCGTGTGGGAGTGGTAGTGGCGGGAGCAAGGCTGCCGGCAGACAGGGGACTGGGGGCCGCAGCAGGAGGTGCCAGGCGGGGGCGGGAAGGATGGGCCAAGACCCGCCCCTGTGTCCACCATAGCCTTGTGGCCCACAGTTCCTTTCAAGGTGCACTGGGCCCCTTGAATCTATATGCTTAAATGTGAAGGGGCTGATTCATATTTAAGGGCACACTGCTAGGGTATCCTTAAGTATTCAATTATCTTTGCTATATAAAAATATGTTTTCCATATCTTTTCTTAGGTTAATGGCAACATTCTTAAAACCAGGGTTTTGGAAATCAGAGCCTCCACATCTCATGGAAAAGAACCTAGGGACAGAAAACAAACCAAGATGCGGAGACATAAGCAGGGTATAAGAAGAGAGGAAGGGAAAACAAAATAATAAAGAGGTTACTCTGAGAGTTGCTGACTGATGAAAAATAAGAGAATGCTGAACAGAAAAGCAGAATATAGAGTAGAATATGGGCAAAACTGACAGAGAGGAACAGAAAGACAGAAACAGTATGTCAGAAAGACTTACCCATGAAGGCGATGCCATTTTTCAAAAGAAGTTCTGGGAGCTTGGGATTCTCAGAAGCATGACCCCAGCCAGCCCATACTGCCTACAAGGGAATACAATATGGTTCATTCTTAAAATTCATATTTAAAAGAAAGAAAAACATGATAACTGTATTATTCTCTACTAAGATTGGGCCCTACTCCATGAGGTACAATATCTCCACAGCAGTCTAATACTTAATTCAGCTTCTATGCTTAATTCTTGGCAAACTTCTTACAGAAAAATAAGCAGTCCATTGTGGTAAAACCTCTGAGTAAGTCAAATCTAAGTTGAAATTGATATTAAGATCCAGCTAGTCTTGTTGCTCTTTAGGAAGTTCAATTCAAAGCCTTTCAACTAGACTCTATAGAGGCTTTTCTACACTCTATAGAAATATTAGTTCTCCTTCACAGATTCAATTACTTTGGCCACACGACTCAACCTTTATATCTAGTGGTTATAATGCCCTATAAATCATGAGCTTTTTTTTTTTCTTTTTGGGCTTTAAAACATTTACCCTAAACTTCTTCATATAAGTGATAGGGAAGGAATGAGCTACTTCTACACTATCATATTCTGAGCTAAGAATATTTCAGTGGAAATACAGCATCATATTCTGGGGTAAGAATATTCCATTGGAAATGGTTTGAACATGAAATGGATAGAATAAATAATCTCTGGGGTGGGGCGGGGGGGGGAGCCCTTACAAACCTCCTGTTTGTAGTCTGTTTACTTAGACTAAGTGCATCTTTCCATCTTTCCTTTCCTTGTTGGTTATATTTCACATGAAGGCATTTATAAATTTTCAACAAAGATGCGTTCTATAAAATTAAAAGTTCTTTTTTGGACATTCCTTTGTGCCTAACTGTAAAATCACTAAATCTGTTGTTATTGTTTTCTGTGACCACTTACAGATATTATGTTTATCAAAACAGTGAAACATTGTAAACCATAATATGCAATAGTTTTCTTTGGCAATTGTAAATATTAGTTCATATGTGAACTACAGTGCTGAATCTGAATAATATCTTTAAAGTGGAAACATTTTTCCCTTTTTTTCAACTTAAAAAATTTCAAATACAACTGACATACAATATTGTATTAGTTTCAGATGATTATATATTTATATAACTTCTGAAGTGATCACCTTGTAAATCTAGTACCTACTTGACAACATAGTTATTACAATATTATTGACTATTGACTATATTCCCCATTGCTGTACTTTACATCCCCATGACTGTTTTTATAATTGGCAATTTGTACGTCTTAACCCCTTCTTTTTTCACCAATGTGCCAACCCCCATCCCATCTGGCAATCATCAAAATGTTCTCTGTATTTGTGAGTTTGTTTCAGTTTTATTTGGTAATTATCTTTCTCTGTCTTACTTATTTACTTAGCATAATGCCCTCTTATTCTATCTATGTTGTCACAAATTGCAAGATTTCACTCTTTTTATGGCTGAGTAATATTCCATTGTATACATACACCACTTCTTTATCCATTCGTCTATTGATGGACAATTAGGTTGCTTCCATATCTTGACTATTGTAAATAATGCTGCAATGAACACATAAATTTGGCTTTAAAGGATACATTGGCATCTCTTACTTGAACTGGAATCCTTTTAGCAATATCAAGAATTAATTCAACATTTGCATAGTTGTTGTTGTTTGGTCCCCCTGGCACTGGTACATAGTGATCTGCCATCTTAATGTACTCTGAAAATGTAAGCAAATTAATAGAGAATACATGCTTTAGTTTCTGAAATATTACACAGAGCAAGACTATGTAAAGGACCATCATAAGTAACCATAGAACAAACTGCATTAATGGGGTAATTTCCAGGACCATTTATTTGAAGGCTCTGACTTTATTAAGTCACGAATATGCACTAATTTCATATTTAGGAAGCTCTTACACTAAAACAGCAGTTCTCAAACATTTCACTATGTGACCTTTCTGGAAAGGTCTTCATGACCCCTATATCAAAAATAATGTGTCTGTGACTTAGAGGCCCATGTATAATTATTCTATTATGGGAAAAAGTCCTAGTCTTAACACCCTTTATCTTTACCTTGTACTATATTCTGAGAAAGCCCTTTTCTTGATGTAGAGCTAAGACAGAATGGGGACAGGGGAGAGTCTGGAGGGTTTGTAGACTGGCTAAACAGGAGTCTCCTAGGTGTTTAAAAAGGGTTTATCTGGAATGTTAGCAATAATAGATATTTGAAAGACACTTTAAAAAGAAACTTCTTTACCTCACATTACTTGTTTTGCTCAGTATTCCCATTTAAATTTGTCACCTGGTGTCTCTCTCTTCCTATTCTGGCAACAACTGTAGCAGAGAAGCTACAATGTGTAGGACTGCATTAATAAGCACTTTACATATATATTTCATTTAAGTCAACATATGATAGGTAATATAACACCCAGTTTATAGGAAATTATGGTCTGGAGTAGTTAAATAACTTGCTCAAGGTCCATTTCCAACATATGTATTAACTTTTCTTATATCTTGTTCTTAACTTTTAAAGGCTTTAAGTCCTTTTAAAAAAAATTCTTACCCAGCCAGTGTGGCTAAATGGTTGAGTGTCAACCCATGAACTAGGAGGTCACAGTTTGATTCCAAGTCAGGGCACATGCCCAGGTTGTGGGCTCAATCCCCAGTAGGGGCATGCAGGAGGCAGCCAGTCAATGATCTTCTCCCATAATTGCCGTTTCCATCTCTCTCTCCCTCTCTCTTCCTCTCTGAAATCAATAAAAACGTATTTTAAAAAATACTAATTCCTTAATTTAATACCACTGATATTATAATCCTTTCTAGAGTTCTATTTCTTAAATAACTTTTAAAGAAAGCAAAAAATTATATAAACTCTAAGTAAAAAAGGTTGGAAAAAGCAGGAACATAAATAGAAATAAAAACACCCCAAAATTTCACTCCCACAGATAACTAGTATTATTGTTTTGGTATTATATCTTTTTTTTTTTTTTGACTATACACAATGTACTTTTTTCCTATTATTATATCACACTATCAATCTCCTTATGGCCAATGTTCTTCTTGGAAATTGTGATGAATAGACACTTAAGTGTCTGCCGCTATGATCCCAGTCTCCAGGTATTCATGTTTTAAGTCCACTCTCCTTGGGTGTGACCTGCTTCTGGCCAAGAAAATATGGTAAATATGAGATGTCATTTCCACGATAATATTACATATGAATGTAACCAAATGTAATACTCTCCCTTGCTGGCTTTGAGGTAGAAGCCACGTGACAAGGAGCTGAGAGTAGCCTCTAGCCAATAACCAGCTAGCCATTCAGGCCCCAAGTGTGGGAACCCACAGAAAACTGAATGCTGCCAACAATCATGTGAGCTTGAAAGCAGATCCATCCAAAGTTGAGCCTCAGATGAAACTGCAACCCCAACTGACAACTGACTGCAGCTTTGTGATAACCTGAAGCAGAAGACCCAGCTCAGCTGTACCCTGACCTTCAGAAACTGTGAGATAATAAATGTCAGTTGTTTTAAGCTGCTGAGTTTGTGGTAATATTGTTACACAATAATAGATAAATAATACAGCAATTTAACAGAATGCATTCTCAGACCAATTAATGCTATTTTTTAATGGCTGCATGATATTTCATAGAATTAGTGTAGCACATTTTACTTAACTAATCCACTGATGGTTAACACTTAAGTTACTCCAAGTTTCTGATTATTTTAATAATGACTATCCTTATACAAATATATTTGCCCATATTACTGATTTTTGTTCCTCAGAATAAATACAAGAAAATACAATTTCTTGGTCAAAAGATATGCATACTTTTGTTCTTGTGTTCTTGATCCAATCCTCTCCCACCTCCTCTAGGTCTCTTGTAGACTTGTACCCCCTCCCTCTTTGATTTCTTCTTCTTAGACTATAAATATTCCCAAGTCTCTTTCAATTCAGAAAAATTAAAATCCTTCCTTGACCCTGAATTTCTCTTTAGTTTCTACCTTTTTTTCTTCCGTTCTCATTCAAATTCTTTTTTTTTTTTTTTTTTAAATATATTTTATTGATTTTTTTTTTACAGAGAGGAAGAGAGAGGGATAGAGAGTCAGAAACATCGATGAGAGAGAAACATCGACCAGCTGCCTCCTGCACATCCCCCACTGGGGGTGTGCCCGCAACCAACGTACATGCCCTTGACCGGAATCGAACCCGGGACCCCTCAGTCCGCAGGCCGACGCTCTATCCACTGAGCCAAACCGGTTTCGGCCTCATTCAAATTCTTAAAAAACGTGTCTACATTGGCTATCTCCATGTCACTTCCCATTCATTACTTAAAATTCTATATTAGTTTGCATACTCATATTGTTCTACTAAAACTATTCTTGCAAATATCAATGGTTTCATAATTGCTGGACAGATTTCTCTTCCTACTTTATTGAACTGCTGACACATGTGACCCTTCTTAATGAAATTCTTTCTTTTTGCTTTTCTCTTCTGCTTCTCCCATCTCTCTGATCATTTCTTCTCAGTATTGTTTATGGACCTACCTTCCTGCATCTATCCTATATCCTACCCTTCCATAAAGTTTCATCCCTAGCCCTCTTCTCTTTATTTTCTATCTGTTCCTTCAGGGAGTAGTGTTAACTAATAACGTAAACTCTTAATCTCTGACTGTTATTATTTCTAAGTTTTAGAAGGATATATTCCATTTATTGTAGAATTTATAGAGTCTACTTGTACCACAAGTACTCCAAACCTAATCTGTCCCCCCAAAAAACCTTACTCTTGCCCTAACTGGTTCGGCTCAGAGGATAGAGCGTCGGCCTGCGGACTGAAGGGTCCCAGGTTCGATTCCCGTCAAGGGCATGTACCTTGGTTGCGGGCACATCCCCAGTGGGGTGTGTGCAGGAGGCAGCTGATTGATATTTCTCTCTCATCGATGTTTCTAACTCTCTATCCCTCTCACTTCCTCTCTGTGAAAAATCAATAAAACATATTAAAACACCTTACCCTTCTTGCTACATCATCTATTATTTTGCCCTACTTGATGGTACTAGTACCTGCCTAGTCAACCAAATTAGAAATCCAACAATAATCATTAACTCTTCATTCAACCACCAAATCTTGTCAATTTTGCCTCCTAAAACTCTGTAAACCATCCTGTTCTTCTCTAGTCTCAGCCTTGTCATATCCTTTAGTATTGCCTTCCACAAACGGATCTTCCCAGATGCTTCCTGAATCATCTAATTATTCATGTTTTTAAAACTGTATCTATCTTTTAGAGATACATATTAAAATATTTACACAAAATCATGTCTAGGATTTGCTTCAAAGATTGTGTGGAAGAGGGAGAAGGTGAAAGTATAGATGAAACAAGACTGGCTGTTGATAATTATTGATGCCGGATGACAGACAGATGGAAAGGGGTTCATTATACTCTTCTACTTTTGAATCATCAAAAACAACTAATCTATTTAAATACACATTCTTTAATGTTCAACACACACACACACACACACACACACACACTCATCCCTAAAAAGATAAAGTCTATGCCCTTGATGATGAAAAACAAGACCCTTCTTGACGAATACTAGATCACATTTTGTAATTTAACAAGCCACCTATAATTTCCAGAAAATGACTGTGTCACACCTTCAAACATTTGCCTATACTGTTCTTTCATCCTGAAACACTTTTGTCTTCTCCCTAATTGCTTCATTAATTCTTACTCAATTTTGGATAGGCATAACTTCTTCAGAAAGCTTTATCTTAACCCTGCCCCCAAGAGCATGGGGCAGAGTTAAGATATCTCATTTCTATGTTCTCATAATACATTATACATATTTATATTATAGCATTGACCTCAAAGTACTGAAATTATTTGTTTCCTAGAGCCAGATCACATCTTATCCAACTGTAGGTCCCTATGTTTACTGAGTACAAATAAATGAATTAATGGGAGCACTAGGTAGAACTAGATAAAGGAAAAGAAATAATGCAAGGTAATTGACATTTATGATAGACAATTTCATCTTTACTGTGAACTAGACATTATGATCCTTCTTTTATAGTTTTAAAAATTGTGGCTCAGAGATGTTAAAGGGTCAATCTAAATGTTTTCACATAACATCAGATTTCCAATAAATTGGTGCCTTCTCTGTTTCTAAATAAGGTACATAATACTACCCCTTACTCCTTAGGCATAGCCTTAACATCATTGTCTCAATATAGAGAGAACATATACAAAACAAAATGGTTTTAAAAAGATAGCTATTTAAAAAGCTGTTATCTGTGAGTACTCTAACTTAGAGATTATGCTTTAGTGATGAAAAGCATGGAGAGGAAAGCCACAACCTCTCAGCTATCCCAACATCTTTCAGCTGGAGGACCTACTAAGTAGAGAGAATGTGCAGAAGAGCTTGCAGAGTGAAAACAACTTGGGTCCCAAGAGGGCTCTCCCTCAGAAGAAAGGGGAAAAAATTCACTGTGGCTCATAAGGGAAATAGTATTTCCTTCCGAACCTTTCCTCTTACACATGTTAAAGTATGTGGCTTAGCAAATACTTGACACTGAAAAGGCATACACCTGAAAACCCAAATCAACACTTTCGTTCAATTTCTACCTAGAACACAAGGGTCTGTGTTGAGGTTAAATATAGCACAATCACTTGTATATGCTTATTATTAACACTCTCTAAAAGATAGATCGTTCTGTTTAAGACTCCCCCTAAGTTACTATTCTCCTACTTACAGGCTGTGCTAGTCAATGTTTTACGCTCTAGAGCAGTGGTTCTCAACCTTGGCTGCACATTAGAATCACCGGGGAATCTTTTTAAAATCCTGATTTCTGGGCCTCATCCAAAGAAAAAATTCTGTTTCTTTGTTACTAATGTTGTGGCCTCACCCCATAACAAAGAAACAGAATTTCCGGAGGATGAGGCCCAGAAATCAGGATTTTAAAAAGATTCCCAGGTGATTCTAATGTGCAGCCAAGGTTGAGAACCACTGCTCTAGAGTGATGCTTTCTTAATGCAAATAACTCACCTGCATTGGCTTTAAGGTCTTCAGGTGTGACCATGACAACAAATCGGATTGCACGTTCATTTCGAAACATCTCGTAGGACCACCGACGGATAGACCGCATGCATTTCACTGCTGCAATGCCATTGTTGGCAATAAGAACCTGGGAGAGTTAGGGGATGGGAATTGGAGAGAAAAATTAAAAAAGCAAGCAATGATGGAGAGAAAGAGGTGAGACAATTTTTGTAGCTCTATCTTATTTTGAAAAGGCAGATTTTCAATAGGAATTTGTATTCCTGGTCTAGGTAGTTAAGAACTAGCTCCCACATGACCAAGGGATATTTTAAAATGTTAGCTAAGGAAATACTTCAATATGTGCCTGACTCAACCTTATTCCTTTCTAGCTTCCTTCTTTTAAAAATACTCACCCAAGGATATGCATTTTTTTTAATTGATTTTTAGAGAGAGAGGATGGTTAGGGAGAGAAATATCGATGTGACAGAAAAACATCAATCAGTTGCCGACTGTATGCACCCTGACTGGGGATTGACAACCCCACAACATGGGCATGTGCCCTGACGAGGAATTGAACTGGTGACCCTTCAGTGCACAGGATGAAACTCAACCAAGTGAGCCGCCTGGTCAATGTATAACTTCATTTCTCTCTCTCTTTTTTTTTTTAAACCCTCACCTGAGGATATTTTTTCCATTGATTTTTAGAGAGAGTGGAAGGGAGGGAGGGAGATTAGAAAAAAAGGAGGGTGGAAGGGGGACAGACAGCAAGAGAAAAACATCAACCCAGGTATGTGCCCTTGACCGGGAATAGAACCTGGTGCCCTTCAGTACACAGGCCGACGCTCTAACCACTGACCCACACTGGCAAGGCCCATAATTTCATTTCTTGAAGGAAAAAAAAAATCACAATTACTCAAATCTTGTGAGTCTGTGAAATTTTACTAAACCAATTATTAGGGGAAAGAAACTTAAGAGAGATAGTGTATTATAAATAAGGATGGAGGAAAACCAAACAGTGAGTGTCATGCACTATTCTTTGTTGTAGTAAAATAAGGCAGAGGACCCTGAACATGTGTAAGAACCTGGAACCAGCCGAAACCGGTTTGGCTCAGTGGATAGAGCGTCGGCCTGCGGACTGAAAGGTCCCAGGTTCGATTCCGGTCAAGGGCATGTACCTGGGTTGCGGGCACATCCCCAGTAGGAGATGTGCAGGAGGCAGCTGATCGATGTTTCGCTCTCATGTTTCTAACTCTCTGTCTCTCTCCCTTCCTCTCTGTAAAAAATCAATAAAATATATTTAAAAAAAAAAAAAGAATGAGAGCTCATAGAAAAAATGAGCTACAAATAAACAGTATTAAAAAAAAAGAAAAGAACCTGGAACCAACCACCACCTCTCTCCAAAATGCTGAACCCCAAATGCCTTAGAACTATAGAGCCTGCCTCAGAATGGTCACAAGAAAAAGAGAAGAATCAAGGATCCTGAGACTTCTCTGTAACAAACCTTTCATTAGCCGTCTTGCAATCATCCCTCCAAGGATAACACAGTCTAGGAGACATATAATCTATCTTTATTGGAAGACTAACAGAAGGACACCGCTGAAGCAATACTTTTAGGAGTGGGAATGTAAGTCCCCATCCTTTAATCATTTAATCACTATAAATTATTCCAACCAAGTCATTCTCTCAGCTCTGACATGATTTAGATAAAAGTGACACAGAGTTAATATTTAAAAATACGTGTAATCTCTAAGTATTTCATGTGGTGTGTTCCCTCTAAACAGCTCCAATACTCGATGGAAGCCAATCAGTCAGTGTATCAAACTGTTTAAACTTTCTCTTCTGAAGTCTCTACTTCCTTAGCTCCAAACCCAATGCTATGACATTATCTCCTCACCACCACCCCACAAGTTAACTGATTTCTCCTAGCCTCTCAGATCAATGCAGCCCAACCCTGTAAAATCACAAGATCTTTTAAAAAGAACTTGATGGGCCGTAACCGGTTTGGCTCAGTGGATAGAGCGTCGGCCTGCGGACTGAAGGGTCCCAGGTTCGATTCCGGTCAAGGGCATGTACCTTGGTTGCGGGCACATTCCCAGTAGGGGATGTGCAGGAGGCAGCTGATCGATGTTTCTAGCTCTCTGTCCCTCTCCCTTCCTCTCTGTAAAAAATCAATAAAATATATATTAAAAAAAAAATAATAAATAAATAAATAAAAAGAACTTGATGAGCACTGCTTCAACATCTTATTAGCTGTGACTAAATTATCAGTGGTTAATACATATTACAGAAAATTATTTAATAGGATGCTAGGGAGGTAGAAAGGATAACTTCACATGAAGAGGCAAGGTCTCTGAAAGTCTAAATATCAGTTTTGAGCAAATCTAGACAACAAATCTAGGCATTAAATCTCATATACTTTGGAAAAGTACGTTAGCAGGTTACAACTTACCTTCTCAATCACTTTATTACCCCCAAAGCGAGTAACAAATTCTGCTGGAGAAGCTACAGTGAAATCTCGCTGTGAGTCTATTTTCTTTCGGTCTCGACCTTGCTTTACTAGATGCAAGCCAGACATGCTGGGCCTATAAAAATAAAGAAGCCATGAACGTCTGTCAATAGGATTTCTTCACACCATCTATCTCCCCTGGAGACCTGCTTTTCACTTCTTATAACAGTACCTCCAACTATACCCTTGTGAAGACTGCATGCTGGGGGACCACATACTTTTTAAATGGAGGAAAAAATGGTCTTTGCTTGTGGAAATCTAAGCAAAAAATAACTGTTCCTGAATAATAAAATAATAATATTAAGGTTTACCAACAGTGCCATCACAAAGAGATAGGCAATGGTTGGAATGAAATGAAATGGTAGAAATAGCAGACTCAACTGTTAAAACTAAAAATACAATTAGCAAGGCTGTTTCAGGATCATGATTCTGGCATACAGATGACCTTCACCTCTGTATCTCTACCCTCCATCTTTCTTATGAGCTTTACCTCCACATTTTTAATTGCCTACTAAATGTTTTACTGGTGTATCCCATATATGTTTCAAAATCAAATTCTTTACAAGGCAGCATAACATACCATATTTCATCGATTTTAAGATGTTCCTCTTTTTTTAAAAAAAAAAAAAACTCTGAAATTGATATGTATCTTACAACCAATTGTATGATTTATTTAGTCGACAGTATTTTTCTCCTCAGTGATGCCTATAACAATTAATGGTGTTTTAGATTAAATAAAATATAGTTGTTGAAACTGCACAGACCTGGTTTTAAATTCCAGATCTGTCCGCTTAATAGCTCCAATGAGTTTTAGCAAATAATTTAACCTTGCTCAGCTTCAGTTTTCTCTTTGTAAAATATGCATAGTATTTACAGTTCCAGTTATTTACCTATTGTCCCTCAGCTCCAAGTCCACTCTTTTATGCTCTGCACTGTGGAAATAGGGCTAAGCCTCTGCAAAATTGTTCAATTCTGCCAATGGGAAGACAGGGGGGTAAAAAAGAGACTTCTTTTGTGTTTTCCAGCTATTACCAGCATTGCTCCATAGTAACAGAAAGTAAACTCTAGCTTCTAGCATCTTTTGACATTCCTGGGAAAGCCTTGATGTATTCTCTTAGAAGTACCAGGAGCAGAATGTTGTGGTTCCTGACAGTCAATACTGCCTTGCCATGCTTACTCATCCTCTGGGGTACGCTGCCTGGGCCTATCAATCACCTGTCAGGCCAGGTCTTCTTCTCAGGGATCTGAGCACCAGCTACTCAAAGCTTACTTCCAGTGGTCTAAGCACCAGCCCCCAAGGACCCTCTTCCAAGCTCCTACTTCTTCCTTTATGACCTCCCAGGTCTATGGGTGGTAACTGCTTTCTATAGGTATTAACTCTGGGTTACTTCAGTATCCCTTTTTCGTTCTTTTATTCTTCTAACACCCAAGTAACCAATTCTCACTAATGAATGTCGTCTTTATTATAATACCTAATGCAGTTTCTCTTTCCTTGACTGGACATTGATAGACCCTCTGAATGGGTGTTTTGAGGATTAAATGAGATAATAGATATAAATAAGGTCCTTTATACACTGTTTAATAGATATTTTCTTCTATTCCTATTTTTCCTTCCTTTCTCCTATACTCCAACCTTGACATTGTAGTAATTTAACTTTTCAAAATAAAAGAGTATGATTAAAATTGTCCAACAAAGAAAATACCAGGTCCAGATGATTTTCAAAGACAAGTTCCATCTAATTTTCAAGGGCAGTAGTCTACCAAACTTCCAGACAATAGAAAAAGATGTAAAACTCTCCAGCTACAGTAATACTGATACCAAACCCAGACAAAGATGTTACATGAAGATAAAAGTCTAGGTCCATTTTATTCCTGACTACAAATGCAAAATTCCTAAACAAAATATACTAAATAGTAGGGTATTAGTGCAAGGATGGGCAAATATTAGTAAAAAAAAAATATGTTCCTCCATGACCAGCTTGAGTTTGTCCCAGGTATGCAAAGATGGCTTAATTTTAGAAAACCCATAAATGTAAAAAACTATGTTAGATTTCCTAACAAGTACAATAAAATGAAAAAAAATTAGAGGCATTAAAATTGCAAAGAAGGAACTGTCATTATTTGAGAATATGGTAATTTACATAGAAAACAGAATATTCTGCAATAGAATAGTTGACATTCCTGGGATGTCCATTGATGCATTCTCTTAGCAATACCAGGAGCAGCAGGTTTTCCAGCCATTACCAGCATAGACCTTAGTCAAGTGTCTTGATATACGATTAATACACAAGAAGTCCAAATATATTAAATACAGTTGACTACATACAGATTATAAAATTAAAAATAGATCATAAAGCTAAAAACAACTAAAATACACATACTCTTCAGAGATATGTATAGATACAATAAGACAATATAAACAGAAAGACAAAAGACATGTGATTAAGAAAATTGATTATCTGGGTAGGGGAGGCATGGAGAAGGGTTGAGGAGAGATTATATAATTAAATGTAGGTGATGGCCAAGGACCCACCTTTCTTTTAAAAATTAAACAAAAGAACGTGGTGGGTTTCAAATCCTTCCTACATTATTAAAAACAAACGAACAGCTAACCAAATAAATAAATAATAGAGGGCCACACATGGAATAATGATATGTCATGAATCAATGATTATATAATTCTATACACCTAAAGTTAAACACACACACACTCCTCAAAGGTCAACTTTCACTTATTTAGGGAAGGAGTGAAGAAATAGAGAAGATATAAACCTAGAACTAATAAGGAGCTGCTTGAGTATAACACAAAAAGGGAAGCAAAGTCTATATTGATAAAAAAGGTGGGAAAGGAATTGGTTATAAGATTTAATCAATAGTTTAGAAATAAAATGAATCTCATAATCTTCACCTCTCATCTACTTTTTGGGGGGACACTATTAGAGAATGTTGTCTTGTAAATAAATGAGTAACCCAAGAAAAGGGAAGACAAGGAATGCAAGAAACATAGAATCCAACACAGAAGAGAAGGGCATTCCCTAGATGATTGTTCAAATTGGAAGACAGACTGTTCTAGGAAGTATTCATCTTGGAAGAAATGGACAGATCACCTTTTGTATTTAACCACAGAAAAACAAAATAAAACTTGCCTGTATGTGTAATACATACATCTACACTAATAAAAGAGAAAAATGGTAATTGGCGTACGACCGCTACCCTTCCCATTGGCTAATCAGCGTATCCTTATGCAAATTAACTGTCAGCCAAGATGGCGGCCGGCAGCCAGGCAGTTGGAAGCGAACATGAGGCTTGCTTGCTCCAGTGACTGCAGACTCCAACGTTCCCCGCCTGACTTGCCGGCCTCTGAGCTGGCAGTTTGAAACATTCTAACAAATATATCCGGCTGGGATCTCAGAGCTGAAGTTATACATTGTTTCGATTATAGAACGGCAAACAAACCAGCAGCGGAAGCCTCAGAGCTAGAGCCAGAGCTAAAGCTGGCCCAGAAGAAAAAAAGAAAAGAAAAAAAGGAGTGGTTGGGAGCTTCCCGCCAGCCTGAAAGCAGTCAAAACCGCCAGCCTGAAAGCAGCCCTCAGCCCCTCACCCAGACTGGCCAGGCACCCCAGTGGGGACCCCCACCCTGATCCAGGACACAGGGCAAACCAGCAGGCCCCCAGGCCTCTATCCTATATAGTAAAAGGATAATATGCCTCCCAGCACCGGGATCAGCGGAGCCGCAAGCCTCCTGGCACCAGATCAGCATGACAGGGTGCAGCGCCCAAACCCCCTATTCGCTCTGCGGCTCTGTGTATGACAGGGTGTGGCGTCCCAACCCCCTGATCAGCCCTGCTCTGTGTGTGACAGGGGGTGGCCCCCCAACCCCCCCCCCCCACGGGCCCTGCTCTGTGTGTGACGGGGTAGAGCCATAACCTCCCCATTGGCCCTGCCCTGAGTGTGACCAGGTCGGCGCGCCAACCCAGAGGAGGCCTGCTCCTGGGGGAACTAAATGCGGAGTGGATATGACTGGAGTTTGTGTAACCGAGAGAGGTGCAGAAAACTCCCCTAACAGCTCAGCTCTGTGAGAGCCTTGGGGGACCTCCTAAAAATCACGTAGGACCTCTTTCCTCATTTCAGGAAGGTCGTGGGGTTACTGAGATGAGTCCCAAGGAACCTC